TGTGTACCGGCTGTGTACCGGCTGTGTACCGGCTGTGTACCGGCTGTGTACCGGCTGTGTACCGGCTGTGTACCGGCTGTGTACAAACTGTGAGAGCTGTGCAGGGGAGTAAAAGGTATTCCCTCTTTTTGTGGCTCATGTGATGGGAGAAAGATGGTTGGCCCAGGCAACCCCACCTGTGCTTGTGCGAAGATGCCACCCGCCCCCTCCGGTTTGCCCACTTGGAGAATACGCACCCTTGCCGCTTTGTTGCTTCGCGGGGGACCACCCCGTGTGGAACAAAAAAAAAAAAAAAAATAAATAAGCAACCGATGAAGTGGCAAAACGGCAAGGCGAGGTGGCACACAGTGAGTTTCCCCCACTTGGCCGCTGATCACTTGCCCACTTCGTCGCTTATTTATTTATTTTTTTTAATTTTTTTTTTTTTCTTCCCCTCCCATACTGATGTCCTCGTGGTGGTAGCAGTCTCCTGAAGTGACGCACACACACACAGGTCGTTATCACATCAGGTTGGTGTTAAGGGTGACAGACGCAACCAACCTCATTGCATGCGTTTCTCCCCCGGGTTGAAACAACAGAATACCTTTTTAATCGCCCTCTCATGAAGGAAGGAGGTCTGCCAAAGGGGTCACCCCCCTTCCCCTTGGTCACTTTATCGTTTGCCTATTTGCGAACTAAAAAAAAGAAAAAAAAAGTTATCCCGCCCTTGCGTGTTGGACGAGGCACCACTGGCGGGGGGTCCATTTTAACAGTGAGACGATTCGGTGGTGGCAACAGCAGACAGCTGCGAACATGGTGAGGTGTGTCATGTGAGGAATCTCCCACCGGTGCACATATGTATGTATATGCATTTATTTATTTATTTTTTTTTTAGGGTGAATGACGGCAAGCCCACCGGGGCTGCGGTTGGTTGCCTCTCAAAAAAAAAAAAAAAAGGAGCGGAGTTTGAAAGGGACATGTGAGTCACACAAATGAGACGCGCAAACGAGAAATAAATTAACACAAATAAAAAAAAAAAAACAAATGGGGTGGGGCGCGCACCCCTTATCCTTGTGGATTCGTCACAATCGTGCGTGGCGATGTGTAGCGGCATTCAAAAAGGGGGAAAAAAATTAAAAAAAAGAAAAAGGCACATCAACTCCACATTGCAGCCGTACTGCGTGGACGAGCGGTCCTGCTCACCTCTCCCACGTTCATTTTCGCACCTGGCGTGGGGCTCACACCTACTCCGCCTGCACTGAGGCGTACTCCTGTATGTACCTGCTCGTGTCCGCAAGCCGCTGACGCTCCTGAAAGTTGTTAATGTCGTACGTGTCGCAATTCCTCTCACAGGTGTACACAGAAATGTACGTGAACTTTAAGTTAGAGAGAGGGTCCTCTTTCGTTATAAGGTTTTTTTTTATTTTTAAATAATTTATAATTGTAGAGAGGACTTGAAATTCGAAGACTTTTCTTCGCTTGCAGATGTGACATTGGGGTGGCACAATCCCGTTAGAGGACCCCCCATCAGGGGACAACAACACCTTCTTTGAACTTCTTCCACTGGAAAAGGCTGCACGCAAATTCTCGTCATATACATTATTTTCATTACAATTGGTTGTTTCACTCGACGAGAGCAACACTTGTCCTTTGTATGAATAACGAATGACCTGCGTGGGGAACCTGCTTAATTTGCTGCAGTAGGAGAGGAACACGCGGTCGATATTGCGCTTGGCTAGCACCTCCTTTTGTATTTGTTCAAACGCGTTCATTTCGCTCCCGTCCAGCTGGTCATCTGCCTCCCCCTCCTGCTGTTCCTCATGCTCTTCGTGATCTGCACCCTCTTCACGCTCTTCACCCTCTGCACACTCTTCACGCTGCTCATGCTGTGCGTGCTCCCCGGAGGAGCTCCACGACCCAGTGCTGCTACTCACGCAGTCCTCCTCATCATCTATGTAAATTTTTTTTTCTTTAAAAATCACATGTGTCCTCTCCAAGCACTCTTTGTGCTTGCCCGTTTTGTTTGCACAAGGGATGCCACAGACGGAGCAGCAAAAAAGGTATTCCATTTGTTGGTCAAATTTATTCTTATCTTTTTGTATTAACAGGGTCAGGTAATCTGTGTCTTTGTTTATCGTTTTGTCGTTTTTTCCTGTTCCTTTTTGCCCATTCGACCCCTCCGTTGTGGTTACCTCGCTATGAGCACCTTCCTCTGCGTTTTGCTCGAACGCATCCTTCACCTCATTGAGCATTTCTTCCTCTGTCTCCTGGCCAGGCTCACCCTCCTCACCGTCGCCATCTTCTTCCTCTTCCTCATCTTCGTCACTGTATGGTTCGTCATCCCCGGCGCTAGCGTGGCTACTCGCCTCGGAGTCCGACCTACCACTCAGGTTGTACTCATAAAAGGGGTTGTTCCTTGGCAGCTGCGTGCGGAAGCACTTGACTTGGTTTCCACAAGACAAACATATAAAGAGGTAGAGGCACCTGTGAAAGCAATGGCCGAACTCATCAATGGGTGCGTATATTTGTAAAAGAAAAGACATGAGCTTGCTGCACAGGAAGCAGTGGAACTCCTTTTGTGAATGTAAGTTTATTCGATCTAGCCAAAATGGTCTTCCTCCAATTTTAGAAACGAATTTCTTCTTCACGCTTTCCTTGTCGTGTAGTTCATTCTTCCTCCCTCTCTCTTTCGTGTACCCCAGCAGCACGTGACTCATGGCGAGGAAGAGGAAGAAGCGGCAGACGCGACGAGGTGTTACTTGTAGAGGGTACAAAAAAAAAAAAAAAAAAAAAAAAATATACGGGCAAGCATGCAACTGCTGAGCAGCTCCGAACAGATGCCTCTGGACAGCTGGGGACACTCTCCTACTTAGCAGCTTCCCTCCGACGGATCTGCAACCAACTTGGGTTATACCCCCCCACACTTCTTCTCCCTGCTGTCTGCCTCACGGTCTGCTGCATCAGGTCGGTTGTCGCTTCTCGATTGCCGCTTGCGAAGAGGAGACTCCACGGAGCTTCACCCCACAAAAATTGCAAGCAGCCAAAAGTGATGCGCAAAGGACGACGCAATAAAATTTAGAAAAAATACTAAACGGGAAATTAAAAAAAAAAAAAAAAAAAAAAAAAATGGAGAACAAAAAACAACTTTTATATAAAGTAGCACCGAGGCAGGAAGCGGATGATGCAGGTAAAATAACACAGGTGAGAACGCTTCGCTTTTTTTCTTTTTTAAGGACATCTCGCACGGCGACGACGCAGCAACAGCTCACTCCATAATCATTCCCCCTTCACCATCATGCCGAGATGGACAAAATTGCAACTAATTATTCTCCGAGTAGGCAATTATTTTTTTTTTTTTTATATATATATATTTTTTTTTTCGTTTATATATATATATATATATATATTGTTTTCTAATCGGGGGCATAGAAAACAATACAACTAAAGGAAAATCGCTTCTCCTCCTATAAAGCGTGTCGCGCGGTCCGCAAGGACGAGAGTGGGATCTCTCCCTGCCACAAAAAAAAAAAAACAAAAAAAAGTGTATATATATATATACCGCCAAGGGGGCGGGGGCGGTGGCAAGGTTCGGACCAAAGGTCAACACAAACAACGCAGTCTCATCCACGTCACATATATTAATATAGAAAATAATTAGAGTGCAAAATTCGCTACGTCGACAAGGGCGAACATAAATACAAGCCATCCGCCACAGACCTTTTTTTTTTTTTTTTATAACCCAATGTTTCCTCTTCATGCGTAGAGGGAAGAAAAGAAATCTTCCGAAGGGGTGAGTCCGCAGTGGGAAAAAAAAAAAAAAAAAAAAAAAAAAAAAAAAAAGCAAACGAATGAACAGTTTTTAATTACGACCAAGGGATTTATCTCCTAAGCAGGCACATGAAAGGCGTATGCCCGAAGGGGCAGTTCAGAGACATCCCAACAGAGCCAAGTTATTCCCCCCCGTGGGAACAAATAAATGAACAAACATAAAACGTAGCAACAGGTCGCACAACGTAGCAGAACAAAACAGGGCAATAGCAACCGCGCCATCGCAACCGCGCCATTGCAACCGCGTCACCCCCGTTTGAGCTGCCAATGTGGCCTGACACCCACGCAGCGCAAACCATGTGGTGAGCTAACCAGCACAAGGAGAATAAATATATATTTTTTGTATTTCCCCCCTTTTTTTTTTTTCAACCTGAGGGGGACCCCCATAAAAAAAACATGGAGGCCAAATTAAAAAAGAAGAAATATCTGAACCACCTTCAGCAGAATATATGTAGGAACCCCCAGCTCTACCAACATGACTTTTACGAGCAGTTTGAACAATTCCTTTTCAATTATGGAGTTGTGTTGTTGAACCCATTTAAGAAAAATGATTTATTTTGTAACCAGCTGTCCTTCCTGAGCTACACGGTTCGCTTCTTCTGCCCCGATGGGGGGGGGGCGGCGAGACGCAGCTCAGACGGGGGAGCAGCGGGGCCTGATGCAGACCCACTCAGCGATCCTGGTCACGATCACGATAATGATGAAGACTTACTATGTGATAGTGATAATGGCGAGCGTGATGGTGAGGAGGAGGAGGAGGACGAGCTGCATCGAATGAAACTCGAGGAGAAGAGAAAGGAAATATGGAACACCATGAAGAGTAAGGCAGAGGCAGAAGGGGGCGAAAATGCTGCCAAAAGGAGGAGAGAAGAAGAGAAAAAAAGACTAAAGGAAAATCCTCTCCTACCATACGAAGATCTAAATGAATACATAAACCTGTTGATGGTAGCGGATAAGGCAGAAATAAATTTCGCAGAGGAGCTTTTTTTTCTCACTTCGCAACTGCTGGTGAAGCATAAGAATAATCTGTACGTGTCCATTCTTCTAAGTATATTAAAAACGCTGCGCCAAATGAAGAGGAGCATCGAGGTGTTGAGGTATTTACAAGTGTTAATATTTCTTTGTGATGTGAATCTGAGCAAGGTGAAGATGTTTCTCTTTAAGAGCGTCGTGGAGACGATCGTGCAGGTGCACAGGACACCCAGAAGGGGTTCTTCTACCGCTGGTCCAAAAGTGGCGGAAGAAATCCTGCACCTCCTTCACGAAGCGTACGTGGAGAATAGCCAGAGGAAACGAATTCAAAAGAAGTATGCCTCATCAGGTAGTAGTGGGGACCCCACCAGAAGACCCTACCTGAGCAACGTCCCCATCACAGAGAGTCTGAACAACTTCTCCTGTAGTGTCCTGATCGAGTTGATAAAGAAAAAAATTTACGTGACAAAAACAAATATTAATTTCCTTTGCGAAGGGGTTTTTTATAAAAATGAAAAAATCGTGAAATGCATTTGCTTCTGTTTACTGGGCAAGTTCGAAAACAAGGAGTTCGTCATTCGAGTAACTAAAGAAAAAATAAATACGAATGAACAAATGGGTATGTTAAAAAGTATAAGTAACCAGACACACCAGAAATTAACAAAAGCAAAAATAAAAAAGCTTCACCAAAAAAAGGAAAAAATTCTCAGCAACATGTATAAGGGGAGTAATCCTAACAACGGGCTCGCTTCTTCAGACGAAGATGGTGCGAATGGCCGAGGTGGCAGCGGAGGAGGAAGAACGGATGAACATGCCTCCTCCCATCACAAAACAAATTACACCTTTATAGATTTACTTTTCGACCCACATACCTTCTCAAATAACATTTTTAATTTAATCTGCACCAAGTATAAAAACAATCACGGAACAGTTAAGTTACTTCTGTTAAATATATTATGCAGATTACATCACCGCAATCACATCGTTGAAGAAAATTTATTTCTTTATTATGAAAATGTGTTAGACAGTTTAAAGAGTAAAATGCTTTTACCAAAGTACCTGTCAGCATTTATTCAGTGCATTCATTCCACCACCCCACCCATGTATGTAATACGAATTGTACATGTGTTAGTTAAAAAATTTTTATACGATAATACGTCTGAAGAATTTATATATCTTATTATTAATACCATTATTCAAATCGTCACAAAGTGTCCTGCCGCTTTAGACGAAGAGGTTTTCGAAGCGGTACTTGTGTTTAAGGACTACAAGAATAAAAATACGGCGACCCTCATTAGAAGGTTTATTAATTTGTGTAAGGAGGTCAACCCGGAATTGCTGGACAGAAAATTCCTCGACAAGAAAACTGCTCTCCTCATGCAGCGCCGAAAAATTCTTTCCTCTGTTAGCGGCGTCCCACCAGACACGGCGTCCATCCTGCAATATTCCTACCTGCTACGCGCGGGCCAACGTCATCACGACGGTGACAGCGGCGGCGACGAAGAGGAGGAGGAGGAGGAGGAGGAGGAGGACGACGACGACGACGGCGGCGAACATGATGAAGAGGGAGAGGACAACGATAGCGGAGAGGACCAAGAGGAAGAGGGACGTGATCAGGACGATGAGGAGGAAGAAGAGGGAGAGGAAAGTGGAGTAGACGTGGAGGAAGACACCACCCCAGGGGAGGGCGCCACAGAGGAAGAGGCCTCGGAAGAAGATGAGCTCACCGCTCCTAATGGCGACGATTGTATGGGCGACGATCGTATGGGCAACGACCGCCCCGACAAGCAGGCCAGGAAGGCCAGGCGCAGAGAGGCCAAGGTCAAGAAGGAGCAGTCCATCCTGCAAACCAATGCACAAATATTGAGCCAGAAAATTTTGACCGACGAGGATTTTCGTAAATTGAGGAGAATGAGGGACTATGTCGTAAACAACAAGCAGGTGGTCATGGCAGACCTGCAAGACATTTGTAACGCCGACTACAGTGAGGACGACTCGGGCAGCAGCGCAGACGAGGGACAAGAAAGAATTATCACCCATGAAGATTTATTGCTTAAGAAAAAAATAAAAAAACAGGACATGATGAAAATGAAAATAAAAAAAAAAAGCCAAAGTGATAATCGATTTAAAACCAATAAAGAAAAGGAAAAAAAAAAGTCTGTTATGATGCTCACGCAGAAGCTCAGGAGGAAGAAGCAGAAAAATGCGATTGTGCAGTACGGCAAAATGAAGAAGAAGCTCAAGGGGAAGCTAGCTGCTCGGGCAAAGAAAAGGGGAATCCTTCAGAAGAGAATTGCGAAGAAGTTGAGTAGAAGGCGACGCTGAGGGGGGCATGAAGCGTGTACTCCGCCGTAACAGCCATGTGTAACAGTCGATGGGGTGTGTAACACACGTGCTGTCTCCCCAGTCCTTCTCAACGAACAAGGGAGAGTACCGTTCCTCCCCGAGTGATAATTTTTCGGCTTGGTGTAAAACGGTAAAAAAAAAAAAAAAAAATTTTTTCACCGTTCTTTACACCCATCCCTTCATTCGTCCAAACCGATTCTGCGAAGGTGCAAAGACGCGTCGCACCGCAGGAAGGCACAAAAAAAAAAAAAAAAAACATAAAAAAAAGTAACACGAAAAAAGGGGAATGGGGATTTCCTCTGCACACACAAAGGACCAAATGAAACATGTTCGGGAGTGCCCTTCTCAAAGTGTGTGACCCTCTGTTGCATCGCCTCTTTTTTTTATTTATTTATTTCAAACCGTTCTGAACACACATTCTTCTATAAAGGAGAAAAAGTAAAATTAAAAAAAATGTTTGTTTTGTATGTAAACAACGCGTGTGGGATTGTTGTCTCTGCGGCAAAAAAAAAAAAAAAAAAAAAAAAAAAAAGTGCCTGAGTGAAAGAGGCATGAACTTTTACGCGTGGGGCTAGAAAAAAGGCAGTTGGCCAACCAGCCGCTCGATAATTACGCTGGACGTGGCCACCCCAGGTCACTCCTCATCGGAGCAGTCCGAGTAGGTAAAATTCCCCATCTTCAAATTAACATTGAACAGGGACGAGTGGGTCTTCTTAAAGTTGTACTTGACGTCCTTGAAGTTTTTGAGGAGGAACTTTTTCTCGCTGTAGTAGTTGGCCTCGATGATGTTTGCGCCGAACTTTCTTCCGCTGAGCTCCTTCCTGGCCTTGGTGGCCGCTTCAATGGTTTCGAAGTAGATGAAGGCGCATCCGATGGACGTGAGGTCGTAGTTGGGATGGGTGCGGTCCTCTTCTGTTACTCCTTCCTCTTCCGCTACTCCCTCCTCTTCCGCTACTCCCTCCCCTGCCGCTACTCCCTCCCCTGCCGCTACTCCCTCCCCTGCCGCTACTCCCTCCGTTGCCTCTACTCCCTCCCCTGCCGCTACTCCCTCCGTTGCCTCTACTCCTTCCTCTGCCGCTAACCCTTGCGATGCGTCCGCAGCAGCGGCGCACTTGGCTGCCTGCTTAAACAAAAAGTCAAACGTCTCGCGCGAGAACACAGGTAGCACGACCTCGAGGACGGAACCAAACTTCTCACACTCGACCTTTATGTCCTCAACAATGTCGCGGTATTCACTCGGATCAGACAGTTCATCGAATGTAGCAATTCTGCTAAGCACAACAGTCCTAGTAGGGATCTGTTGAGACAGAATGGAATTCTCTGAGGACATATATTTTCTTTTTATAAAATTATTAATAACAGGATCATTCACAATTTCATATTCAAATTGAATCTTATAACTTGTATTTTGATTTAAGATTTTTTGTGCCTGTACAGCATTATCTGGGGTCGCATATTCCACCAGAGCAATATACGTATCGCACGACTCGTCTCCTTCGAAGCACTCAAAGGATATGATTTCGCCAAATGCTTCTAACAACTCTTTTATTTTACTTGTTTCATTTTTTTTTAAAATATTCGAAACACATAATTTTTGTAGCTTGATCATGCTCATGGGTAGGTACTCACTCCTCATCTTTTCTTCATTTTGAAGGAAAATGCAAAAGGCTTCAAGTCCGATGATCCCCTGTGATAGGTAATAATTATCAATCGTAGGGATGGTCGGTTGTGGAATGAGATTCGTTAATTCGATAGGAAAAGTTTTGGGTCTACCGATTCGTAAATTATTACCATAAAAATTGATCCCGTTTAGTAGCAGACAGTTAGATGTATCCTGTAGGGATCTGAATTCTACAAAAGCGTAGTGTGTGTCTCCTCGGATGCATGCCTTGAGGCAGATTTCCTCACACTTCTGCTCTTCTACCATGTCCTGCCCATTTGCGAGTCCATTTACGCTTTCTTTATTGTACAGTATGTGTAAGCACTTGTTTAAAAATTTCACAATTTCCTGTATGTCGATGTGCTGCGGGATGTTTCCCACGTAGAGCTCTCGAGCAGTTTTCTCCGCAGTTGCATCGAGGGAGGATAAACACAACTCATTAATTCCTAATGAATTTTTGTATAACTGTTGAACTACTGGGTTGTCCATTTTTAATTGTCCATTCAGGAGCATATTCAGTTGAGGTGGGTTCAGTCCTAACCCCGCTACTACACCGGTCAACCCTGCAGTGTTTGTCACGCCCTGATCCGCCCCCATCCCCACACTCATTACCCCCCCTTTAGATGCATCGGTTGTGAGAAGTGCCCCGCCCACGCTACCACTTAGGGTATTTAAAAGCTTGCTGCTCGGCGTGGACCCTATCACACTACTCATCACATTACCGCTGCTGCTGCTTAACGTTTTTATTAAACTTTCAATGTTGCTTGAGTTGTAGGTTTGTGTAGCTGCCACATCAGTCTTCACTTGGCTAGGACTTGCACCGTCATTACTGACGGGGTCATTATTACTCATATCATTACTGTTCGCGCTTTTGTAGGCGGCTGCAGGGGGTACGAGCCCTTGGCCACTCCTACCAGTTTCCACACTGTTCACTACACTGTTTGCCACACTAGTGAGGAGGTTACCTTTGGTGTGTTTTACTGTTCCCCATTCGTCTTCCGACTGGGGTGGAGAATCAAATTTGTACGTTTTGTTTCGATCCGACTCTCTTTTTCGCCCCCAAGACGGGCTGCCTCTCCGTCTCGATCTGCTTCTCCTCCTGGAGCGGCTTGGCCTCCTGGACCTGCTTGGCCACCTAGACCGGCTTCGCCTCCTCGACCTACTTCTCCCCACCCATTCACTGCGCCCGCTGCGTCCTTCCCTCAGTCTCACATGCGAACTCCTACTGCGGCTTCTGTACCTCCTGCCGCGGTGCATATCACTATCTCCGCTACTTCCGCGGCCATTACGGACGTATCTCTTTCCCCTTCGCTCATCATCGTCGTCGTCGTCACTCCCCCTCGGCCTCCTTTCAATTCGTCTTTCCCTATGCCTATCAGCGTGCCTGTCTCTGTACCTGTCCTCCTCCGTCGGGGAGCTCCTGTCCCGACCCCTCATCCGTATTTCAACATTTTTACGCGACAGGCCTTTAATTCTTTGTTCACTACTTCTCCTGTCTCGCCTGCTTGCAGTAATCTCTGGGCTTTCTTCCCTCCTTCGTCGCATTCTCACGGCGGGACTTCCTCCCCCTCCTCGGCTGCTACTGCTGGACTTTCCATCTTCACTCTCCCCTGATCTCATTCTCCTTTTCTGTTTCATCCTTTGTTCTCGTTTCACCCTGGAAGAGTACCCACTGCCGCTTCTCCGCCTGGTGGCACTCTTCCCACCCCTTCCACTACCATCATCACTTTCGTCGTCGTCCTCCTCCTCGCTGCTCTTGTTAACCATTTTTTTGTTGCGTCTTTTCCTCTCACTGTCGACGCGTTCGTCTTCCTCTTCTTGTTTCCTTTTCCTCCGACTCATCACGTCATCTCTTTCCTTCTCCTCCATCCGTCGCCTCTTCTCAAGTAGCCGCTTCCTCCTCCTTCTGGCCTTTTCATGGTCCGAGGAGCTTCCCTCCTCTCCACTGTGATTTTCACTCGAGCTGCGATACTGCTTCTTGTCCGTCGCGCCCATCTTCCTGTTTCCCGCCTGCGTCGCTGGTCACTTATCTTTCTTCGCTTCGTTGCTTCTTCTTCTTTTGGGGCCCCCCCGCCTTTGCTGTCCTCCTCGTGATGACCATTCAAATTAATCGAGCGCAAAAGGGACAGACGACGCATCTACATGGGCATACGTACGTTGCGTTACTCGTTTGGAGGTATATTCCCACGTACAAAACGCCTGAATCAGCGCGCCACTCGTTTTTTTGTTTTTTTTTTTATTATTTCCCCTCTGGACTGGGCTCCGCGAACACTTTTGCAGAACCGTGCCTTCTCTTTCACATTTCTGCGGTTTGTGAAAGGAACGCCCTCTCCGTGGGTTTCATCAACGCATAAGCTACGGATGATGCAGTGGTTACGCGCGTTCCTATTATGGCACTTTCTATGACCCCTATATGTATATACGCATGTATGTGTTTTTTTTTTTTTTTTTTCCTTTGAGGCGAATGAATCGTGTCAACTGAGGACACTTCCACGCAATCTACGCTGTACCGCCGTAGAAAATAATTTTTTAATTTCTCGTGTAGGTTTGGAGGACGCTCCTTTTTCAGTGCGTTGATACATGCGCACGATGTGCCTGTTGCCCATTTTTTTCCTTTTTTTTTTTTTTTTTTTTTTTTTAATTTTTTTTTCTGGTGCCCCTTGGCATGAGCTAACCGACACTAACGAAAATCAGATTTTATAATCCCCAACTGGAAAGTGACTCTTTCAGTTAAGTAGCGCCAACGAGAGGTCAGCTGGAAAGAGCTACCTTTTCTGCATCTCAGTGGTTATACATTACGGGTTACTACGTTGCGTTGCATTGTGTCACGGTTTTGGCTACGCTACGCTTGGTCATTTCTTTTTACTTGTTCGTTCCCTGCCCCCAATTCGCTCCAAACTGCAAAGGATAAATTCCTCCATAGGCGCATTAAAATTGTGATAAGATAGTCTTGTTTGTTTTGTTTTTGTTCATGAGGGAAGAGAAAACGGGGATGCTACTTTCAAGGGGTTATTCTCCCGTTAACCCTTTTGTACAATTTTTTTTACCTGACCTGTTCAGGCGATTTTTGCACTATGCCTTTTTTTTTTTTTTTTTTTCGGCAAATTGACTACTCAAGGTGAAAAATTCGTTCATTGGACAGAGTTAAATAACGGACGCTGGACTGGCCTGTTTGGCGTGTTAGGCCTGTTTGGGCTGTCCTGTCCATTCCCCCTCTTACGAAAAAAAAAAAAAAAGAAAAACGTGGGGATGGTTAATAGCATCCTTATTGGGGGAGCACATGGTGCCCATAAGCAGCTGCGGCAACTACCGCGATAGCACGGGCGGTCTGTGCTGCTTTTTTTTTTTTTTGTGTACATGTGTGTGTCAAAAGGAGAACTTAACTGAGCAACGCAGATGAAGACAACCATGTGGGTGGCAACCCCACCCCTGCGCTTGCATCTACTGGTCTGCTGTTGGAATGCCAAAGTGCTTACAAAGGTAGCGACATATGGCATCTTCAATCCGTTCCGACTCATTCGAGGTTGTAAGTTTAAAGAAATGGTCTCTCCCTGTGAAAATAAAAACAGACTTATAACGCTGATCTAACAGGTTAGCAACTAATAGGTCTGCGAAACGGATTCTCTCGTTTGATTTGCTTAGCAATGCCTGCTCATCATCTTCCAGTTTGAACATGCATAAGTTAAGTAAGGGAAAGTACTCCTTCGTAAGTTTATAAAATTTGGGAGCTAGCTGCATTCGAAGGGAGAGAGTTTCATTCGTCTCACTGTTTATTTTGTGCTTACTTAATTTTGCAAACGGTATGTAGAAATCGCTCACCGCTGCGCATAATATGATGATGTGTGACATGGGGAGAACTTCACTGGTCTTCACATCCATAGTAGTAAGGCCGACCTGCCTGTCCCTGGCGTCCTTATGGAGCAAATCACAAATGGCTGTCAAATAAAATCCATAATCAAAAATTGATTCAAATGAAATACAAAGCACATTTTGCCTGAACTGTTCATACAATTTTGCATCTTTTATTACAGCTTGATTATCCTGTTCTGATATAGTCAGAGTGATATGTCCATCCACAACACGAACACTGTCCATTCGAGTAGCACATTTTAAATGGCATTCGAATGGCATGAAGGTACCCTTTCGATGTAGAAAAATTACTTTTTTGTTTTTCTTTAAAAAATATTCACACATATGTGCTCCCCTTTTTCCGGTCGAGAAATTTTCCATGTGTCTGATGGGCACTTTCTCCAGTGGAACTTTGGTTCCCCCCGATGTGATCAGAATGATTTGACTTGCTTCCTCTTGAAGGAATTCATTTTGTATTTTCTTCAACACGTCGTTTATATCGTTTGGCCTTAACTCGCTGGCGAAGAATTCCGGGTGCTCCGCCAGCCACTCCATCTACGGGCTTGCTTCCAACTACTCCTGTTCGCTCCTTTTCGTTCTTCCGTGTGCCCCTGCTCTTGGGGTAGGTTTTAACTACGCACAGAAAATGGGCCTATGTTTGTTCCTTCTTATGTTGCGCGGATGTGTCGGATGTATGGGAATGCGTGAAGTCTTCCCTTGAGGGCTTCCTCCGGGCAACCATTTGAAGAAGTGGCAGCGTGGGGGCCAAGAGGGGGGGAGAGGTGTAGCGGCGACTCAAGTGCATATTGTTATATATACATAGCAGTGCGCAGCTTGGCGACAACGAAAAAAAAAAAAAAAAAAAAAAAAAATGGAAAGCCCCTATTCCCTTTTTAACTGTTTCCCCCCAATCGATTCATCCCGCGGAGTGTTAACCCCCGACAAGCGCATCTCATCGCATTTCATCGAGTGGTGTGCGCCAAGTGGGGAACAACGGCGACTCCGTCACCTGAGCGATTAAGGCGAATGAGTGGGCCTCTGCTCCGCTAGCTTCCCATCATGGATCACGCGTGCATGAATTTATAAATAGGAAGCACATGTAGTTTATTATTATTATTATTATATTCCTCCCGCCAAACGCTAGCAAGCCGATAGGATAACAAGCTCAACCGATAACAAGCCCACCCCGTTAAGTACCTCACCCTACGGGACCTCCTCTTCCCTCCAACATGGGAGACCGAATTGACAACCGGCACTTCGACTACGTGCTGCCCGTCCATGTTGACGTGGATCAAATAAATGAAGTGAATAAAACATGCATATACGTGAGTGGAAATATGAACCCATACGTGTATGCAAAAAACACCAGTGGGAAATTAACCAAGCTGTTAGGAGGGGCCTACAATTACCAATCAGCAGGATTGAGTGAAGGAGAACCTGAGGAAGCAGCACTTAGGGAAGAGGAGGAGAAGCCACTTCGTGTTAATCGCTCTGGTGGAGTTACCACCTCGGAACAAATCTTAGCAGATCGAACTTTGTTGGGTAACGGGACAAACAGTGTGGTGGCCACCACGCTCATCGGCCCAACACCAAACTTACAAATGTTTAGTAGGGGAATAGAATCACCTCAATTTAACATACGAATAAAAAACACACAAGGGTTTCGAGACGATCGAGAGAAGACCCTGGAAGAAATAATTGTTAAAAACTGTCAACAAATAATTGACCAAGGTATGTATAAATTTCAACAGTTTCAAATCAGAGTGCAGATTCTACGTGAGTGTGCATATATTTTATCGAGCATTATAAATTCGATCATTCTTAATTTTATTTATAACAATATAAGTTTGAACTTTGTGGTCAATTCTGTTAACATTGGCATTGTGGACAGGAGCAAGTATGGGGCCTACGTGGCGGAGCTGTCACGTGTAAGGGCCGGGACGGGACGGAAGAGTCCTGAGGAGGTCGCTAATCGGGGGGTCATTACGAATGAGGGGATGGACACACATTCGGAGGTTCCCCCTGCCAACCCTAGTGTGAGTGCCCCCCCACATGCGGACAAACTTTTCTACACAGACGGAGAGATGTACATCCCCAAAATTATTTTGGACCCCCTTGAGGAGGAAGTCGACCTGTACTGCAGCAGCGCCTTCTGCTTCATCGTCGCTCCGGAATTTCAAAAGGTTATCTCCAACATAGTAATAAAGAACTCTATTGGCATGTCGTCTGAAGTGTGTAACCTGGCCAAGTGGTACGCTTGTGAGGTCTCCCGACTTTTACACAGCGGCGTAAGGCGCACTTACGCTTCGCATTTAAAGCGGCTGGAAACCTGCCTCGCCAGCAACTATCTCTAGGGCAGAGGCGCGCCACAACCCATCAGCGTGTTTACACCGCGTCCCGTATCCTCTATTTTTTTTTTTTTTTTTTTTCGTTTGACTGCAGCCCGTTCAGCGGCAGCGCCTCCTGCACAGCGGAGTGTTCACGTATGCAGCCGTCTGTGTGTAAGCTTCCCGAAAGTGCCTCTTCTTTTTTTTTTTTTTTTTTTTTTTTTTTTTTTTTCGCCCCCGTTCAACACAGCTTTGAAACGATCGTACACGTTTGTAAGATAATTATTTTTCCCCATTTAATTATTTTATTTATTTATTTTTTTTTTTTCGGCGGACTGACCTTACTGCATTGTTGCATGGCTTGCATACCACTTAGCCACGTGGTGTGTTCTGTCGATTCCACTTCGCATGGGTGATGCAAAAGCTAATGTGCCACGTGGAGAGTAGAGTAGAGCAGAGTCCCCCTTGTGGGGTGAACGGATATAAGAGGAGCTCCACTTGGGCGATGGCAAAAATGACGGCGAGTTCACCTCAAGTCAGGAACTTGCTTGACTCGTATGCTTGGTCGTAGAGCTTACCCAAACGAACTACAACTCTAACCGCTTGTGGAAACACACGATGGGACTCCCCGGGATGAACCTCCCCCCGGCTGTGAAGCTTATTATTTCAGGTTTGAAGGCGTCCCCAAATAGCCTCCCCAGCACCAGTTGGTGGAGGTGCCCCTTCTTCAGCCACTGCTACAGTCGCGGCCACAGCTGCACGCACACGCACAGTGGCTGCCACGCAAAGGGCCCCCTGCTAATGACGACCCCCCTGGGGGCAGGGCCCCGCGCCACGTACCTCCCAATTGCGGCGCTCCCCCGCGGAGAAGGCAGTGCCCGTGTGAAAGGACCCTTTGCACACCTGTCTCACCACAACCTCGCAACAACCACAAAAAATAATAACGTCATGGAAGTAGCGACTCGAATGACCAAGACGGACACGAAGAAAACTTCACCCTTTTTCCATCACGTCTTTTTCTCACTAAAGAATTCCCCGCCCATGGGGTCTAAATCATTTAGCACAAAAAATATAAGAGGCAGGTTATTTTATAAAAGAAGACCCAAGCAAATACCAAAGCTAAAAAAAAAAAATTGGAGGTCCAAGTGGTTAGAAGGAGCTCCACAAAAAAGAGGAATATGTTTAAAGGTACGAGTACAGACTCCTAAGAAGCCGAATTCAGGACTTAAAAAAATTGCTCGAGTAAGATTATCCACAGGAAGAGTTGTCTCGGTGTACATCCCTGGCATTGGTCATAACTTGAATACACATAACATTATACTTGTGCGAGGTGGCAGATGCAAGGATATACCTGGGTGTAATTATAAAGCTATTAGAGGGGTATATGATTTACTGCCTGTTAAAAATAGGTTTAGGGGAAGGAGTAAGTATGGGGTGAAGCTGTCTGAAGAAAAAAAAAAACACCTCCTCGAGAGGTACAACTTTAAGCACATATACATTAAGAAGGATATCGAGGAGTTTAACAAATACAAGTGGTTCAATTACGTAGATGGGCAGAAGAATCTCAGGCAGAAGCCCCTCGAGGATGAGGAGCCCGTGCCCATTAACATCTTCCACTTTAACACGTACTACCGCAACCGCAAATTTCAGCAGTCCCAGGAGCAGTGATGCGTGTAGCGGCGGTGCTGGCGGCGGCCCGCTGCTGTAACCGTCTCAACTGCGTCATCTCGCTGCAGCGTGTCCACCCTTTCTTCATTTTTTTTTTTTTGCGCGTTTACCAAACTTACCTAACTTGGCCTTTCCAGCCATAACCCATGTCACCTTCTCACCGCTCAAAAAAAACCTAAGAGTTAGTTCAACCAGTGGAGGGACGCCTCGGTGTAAAGTTCGATGGTCACCCAGACAGGCGTAAAAAAAAAAAAAAATTAATCCAATTTGGACTGAAAAACGCTATGCCGAGGCGCGCGCTAAGTTGAAACGAATAACACCATCGCCATTGCACACTAAAGTTGCACCCCCTACCCCACCTCTCCACACACACACACACACAGACAGACACCACGGGGTGTAAGATAAAAAAAAAAAAAAAAGGAAGGGGGCTACACCCCACTGCTTGCGGCACCACACAACGGGTTGGCGTCGTCAACCTGCGCGGGTCGAATGAAAAGAACAAATCAGGGTCATGGAGAAGAGGAGGAGGTGTCTTCATTGTTATCACATAAGTCGTCCTTCCCCGTTCAGTGCGCAATTCCAATATAGGGGGCCGCTGTCAGCCACGCGGCTTCAGCTGCTTCAACGGCTTGCAACAACAAAGGAAGAAGAAAAAAAAAATAAAATAAAAAAAAAATAATAACAAAGTGCACAAAAAGGGGAAAAAAAAAAAAAAAAAGAGTGTCGAACAGAGCGACAGTTAAATTAACAAAAGTGTAAAGGAACAAGCGAAGAAGACACGTGCTACTTTGCTTCCCTCCACAAGTTACCGCACACACATGGGGAAAGCCCTTATCACTAGAGACCTTTCCAATCTCGCCGCATGTATCTCCTCTTCTGTCTCGACTTCCATTCCTCCTTCTACTCCCCTTTTTGAAACACAAAAGGGGAGACATAAACAAAAGAACGCAAGTGTGGAGACAGCAGCTTCCCATTTCGACCCTCCACTATTAGATGGCCACAAAAAAAAAAAAAAAAAATTCAAAATAAAAAAAGTATAGTACGGAGAGGGGGGGGCGGTGGCTCTCACCGAATTTGTCCCTCCAGTTATCCTTTTTGTCGTTTGCCAGCTGGTCGATCTCTTTCTGCTGCACTTCTCACTCGCGAGGGGGATCCTTGGAGCCATCCACATTGGGGTCCTTCTGAGTGTTTTTCTTGCCGCCCACGGTGTCGGTGCTTCCGTTCTTAGGGGCGTCACTGTTCGTTGGCCCGTGCTTCACTTCTTTATTGTTAGGGGTGGCCCTGTTAGCCGATCCGTGGTCCGCTGCTTTATTGTTAGGGGCGTGACTATTAGTTGGTGCGTGGTCCGCTTCTGACCCCCCCTCCTCGTGCACGTCCTGCTCATACTCCGTTGCGCGCTCCTGGTTAAAAAGCCCTGCCCCCTCATCTGCACGGTTAATCTTCTGTGTGGGTGAAGTCGACGCGGCCTTCTTCTTGCCTTCCACACCCAACTCGATATGATTAAAGGGATCTTCGTTTTCACCCGAATGGTTACCGTAAGCATTGTTGAGAGCCTGCATGTCTTCCAGGTTATATTCATTATCTGCCTCACTGAGGTCATCATAGTCTTCCTCCACTTCGACCTCTTCCTCTTCATCGTCCTCGTTTTCATTTTCCATGAAGCCTACCCCCGACTTCCTGCTACCCATCCGAGCCACAAAATCACGAAGACTAAACTTCGCACCTAAACTCACATCATGCGCGAAGGGAAAATGAGAATCGTTTCCTAACTCCGTGGGGTTATAGTTTATGTGGTCTCCCCCCAAATTGAAAACGAACTCATCATTGGTGTGGAGCACGTTGGAAGTCTTGAACACGTCCCCATCGGTGAGGTCATCCGACAGGCTATCCCCGAGATGACCACTTCCAAAGGCGTCACCCAGCCCGCCGCTTAACCCACCAGGTGCAATATGCACAATCTTGATTGAGCGCTTCACTTCGCCATTCTTATTATTTATATTCATAAAAAATGGATTCGCATTAGAGCTACTGTTAATAATATCTAGTAGAGACATGTGCTTTACAAAATCGACCACGTTGAAATTGGTTGGCTCAAATTTTTCCATCAGAGTCACATTCCACAAAATACACAAATGAGGATTTCTGTTTTTACTAATTTGTATAAGTGTGCACTCAAATTGAATTAAATCATTTTTTTGTAAATTTTCAACTTGTGAAATTAGAGTGTCCGTGAACATAGCCCTGATGTCTGCCTTGTCGTAACGATATTCAGAAGGGTTCATTCGAATGAATAAAGAATTGCTATTAAAAAAACCTTCCTTTATATGGTGAAATTGCCCCGTCCATATAATTGTATACCCATCATATTTGTTTTTAAAATTGTGAATACTGTTAAATTTATTTCTTAGTTGTGACTTGTGTCCACAATCTTCCAGATACTCCACCCAGCTAGCTGTTATGTATGGACCTTTGGCCAAATCATCCAAATTGAAATTGCTTGAAATTCTTATGATGTAAAAAAAAAAAATTAAAAAAATCAGAGATAGGAAGAGAGCCAAATATTTTGCTGAAATTATTATTGCACATTTGGGGAACTGGAAAGTTATAATTGAATTTTCTCTCTTCACTTGAATAAATTTCTCACTCGATTTTTTTAAGTTCTTTTCACAATACGGGCAGGTATATTTTTTTTGCTTAAATGTTAAGTATAATAGAGGTAGTAAAAATATGGTGAAAAAAGAGATCAGGAGAAATAAAATTATTACAAGTAAGTAGACAAAGGTTGGGGTGTATGTCTTCACCTGTGCACACACATGCTTGTTGCAATAATCACAATTGAGCACTTCTTTTGCCTGCTTGTCATCGTATCCACTTGGCTCCTCCTCTGTTTCTTCCTCCGTTATACCTGTTCCCTCACTAAATGAATTGCTCTGATCGTGCCTGATGGGTGTAAATTCTCCTTTGAAGCACCCATGCTCATTGCTCACCATGTTGCTGTCATGACACGTGCTCGCGTCATTGTATGTATTAGCATCGTAATCATTCTTCGAGCTGCTATCGTTTATGTTTATCTCCTGCATTTCATTTTGCAGGACGTTCATTTCACTTAGTCTGGTCCTTCCCTTTCCCCCGCAATTTATCATTTTGGATTGAGATATATCAAGTAGCTGGAGGCGGGGCGACACTAGTCTGTTGATGCAATGTTGGCAACGCTGGGCGGACCATGTGGGACGGGCAATATAGCGGTCAACCCCTGTACACGCCAAACAGGCTAATTGGCAAGAAAAAAAAAAAAAAAACGACTCGTAGCTCCCTCACAACGGTCGCAGCGGCCCCAACGATCGCAATTTGTTACACGCAGGACCGGGAAGGCTTCACTCAGGCACTCGAACAAATGTGCATACCAAAGCGCATGTACAGTCGCGCATTCTTATGAACAGTTCAGGTAAATATGTTATTCCTTTTTTTTTTTTTTTGCTTCCCTTTTCGTAAAACTGTCCTCAAGTATAAATATACCCCTAAATGTGCTCAACCTCCTTGAGCGCTTTTGGGTCTCTCCCTCAAATTGCCAATCACTCCAAGCGCGCAAAAATTAAAAAAAGAAAAACCTGAATGTGTTAAGCGTGAAAGGGCCAAAATGTTGATACCAAAAAGGCCGCCAAAAAGGGGAAATAGTAAAAAAAACAAAAAACAACAAAAAAAAAAAAAACAGCCAAAATATGATATGAACAACAATAAAATACAGAAAAAAAAAAAAAAAATTGCAAATTGGCAGACTAGCCAAAAATGGAAAAGCAAGTTGCAAGAAAGAAAGAAAAAAAAAATAAAATAAACGGCTTTACTAAAAATTGAGAGAATCCGAAAATTGGAAAAGTCAGCAATTTTTCGTGTTATGCTTACAACGCACTAACGCCCGCGCGCCAATTGGCGTCCTCGATCTGACATACGTGACATTTCGAAGGGAATGCTCGGGGGAACAATCAATATGAGAGGGTGACGCGTGCCGCAAAAACTGAGAAACAAAATGGAAAAGGGGAACAGTTCTTGTACTTGTTCACGCGCTCCTGTATATGCCCATTTACATGCTCGTTTTTACACGCTCTCGTCCACCTTCCCGTACACGCAATAAAAAAAAACCTAACCCCTAGTAAAGTGCAACCTGCCCCATGTGCAAGATTTTACGCTCAATTCGGGGGCAAACTTCCTCCCAAGTGGTTGCAAAAAAAAAAAAAAAAACGGAGGCCATAAGGACCAACCTTACGTTTGTGTTCAGCATTTTCGTTGCACGCGTCGCGGGTGTGTGGTGTACCCCATCGTGTGTATCCGCGCAGGACGAAGCGAAGTCCGTGTTAATCTAATCGAGCAATATATCGTGGTCCACCTGTGGTTCAGCTCACACATCTTTTGTCTCCTTGCCATTTTGCCACTCGGGTCATTCGCAGTTTTACACTTTATTTTTCTGGCAAATTCGCCGCTGCGTTCTCTTTCTCAATTGTGTAACGTTCCTGCAAAGATGAAGTGTGAGGAGGAGAGGCGGACGAGTTAAGATTAGTTAAGAGAGGGTATAGGACCGCTTCGCACGCAAAAAAAACCACTTGCTGTTTTTTTTTTTTTTTTGTACCATTCCCATTTCGTGCATATATTCCCTGGTCATATATTAGGAAAAATTTACGAAGAATACAAAACAACTTGCTTTTTTTTCTCCATCCTTCACATGTTCTCGTATCGTAACACAGTTGTCTTCATGCCGTCTCTCCTTTGCATTTACAAAGTGCTGCTAATTTTCCAAGTGAAGGGCAAGCCAAAGCAAGAGCTACTTAAAATTTGCACCTGCAAAAAAAAAAAAAAAAATTAAAAAAGACAAACCGGAGTGAGCGTGTACATTACGCGCTTCGTTATTTTTGCAAAGGTGAAGCTGAGGGAGAGAGTAGTGCTCTAACTTTCGGAAGTACATTTCGGGGTTCACTTCCGACATGCCATTTTTCCCTCATGTTCACTCGCGCAACTGAAGAGAACGCGCTCATATGAACAGCAAATGAGATGCGCGTATGCGCTTTCTTTCAATTGCGTCCGAAGCCTAACTGCGAGGTAAAGGTGTAAGGGGGAATTATTCCCGCGCAACGTGCACAGCGAGGCGAATGTGAATGTGAATTACGTTTCGGAGAACTTCGTCCCTGTGAGCTCCGCAGGTGTGTTCGTATAGCTAGCCACACAACGCATCGGTATCCCCAACGTGACCCTTTTTCGTGAGTACATAAAATTTTCATTTTTTTTTTTTTTTTCCCCCCCCCCTTGAGTTGAGCGTTCCGGCGCGAGCGGGAGGTGTTTCACGCAAAAAAAAAAAAAATACCTAAAGTGTACAAAAATACGCACATGCATACCATGTGTACATTTTTATACATGGGCACACCCGAGGCATACACAATTTCGCGAAGGCTGACGCGAAAGGGCGTAGCAGAAAATTCCCTCGCGTTCGTATCATAATCTGCGGTGTTCAGTTTATTCGCCTGTGTGGCTAAGTGGAGGGAGAAGGGAAGACCCACAGGCGTCCGCACGGGGGACCTGCAATCCGTTAGAACATAAATTATCACCTCGCTATATAGCAGGTGAATTTTGCTACCATCACAAAATTACACACCCCCAACCCAGGAGCCGCCAACATGAGTAACGTGTTCGACAGACTGAAGAAGCAGAGGTCCAAAGAATGCAAGGCAACAGATTTTTACGAAGTAAGTGTGATGGGTGTATTGTGTAGCGGCTCCCTCAATTTCGTTTTCCCTCTTTCTCTTCTGTGTGTTGTGATGACTACATGAATGGCTGTGTTTGAGATCGATCGCTATGGAGGAATAATTTGTGTGAGCCGCGAAATGCTAACAAATTGAGGTAGCTTGATGTGCATAGGGGTGTTATGTAGTGGACAGGTGCCCACCTTTTTTTTTCTATCTCTCTCTCTTCGTGTTTCCCCCCAGGTGAAAAACAAAAATGACGACATTTACGAAGTGGTAGATGAAGAAGGCTACATTGAAAACAAAAACTCCTTAAAGAATTTCATCGTTGGGGGTAAGCACTGGGATAAAAAAAAAAAAAAGGGGGGTATGCCGACTAACATGTCTCTTCTAATTATGCTCATTCGTGCAACACTCGCGCGTGTTTTTCGCAGGCGAGAAGGACTTTGACTCAAGCGATGACGTCATTGTGGAGGACATTAACTACGGCCTTCTTCGGAAGAAGAGTAAGGGGTGTATAAGATGGAGACCGCCATTACAATTGTTCATATGATCTTCCTCCGTAAATATATTATTTTTTTTCTCCTCCCCTTCCCCTCCCCCCCAATTGGCACCGGCACCGGCAGCAGCAGCGGCAGCGGCAGTGGTTGAGAAGGGAACCAAGGCCAAGAGGAATACACCCATTGACGATTTCATTCGAGAAAAAAAAATTCAGAAGATTTTTCACACAGGTAAATTAAGCAAGGAAGAAATATCCAAGGCAAAAAATATTGAACGGTTGATGGACGCGAACTCCTCTTCTAGTGGCACCGACTCAGATCACTTCAACACCAAGAAAAAGACAAGAGACTCCTACGAAAGGGATCGTAAAGAAAAAACGGGATGTCAAATTAGGCATATAAACCCTGGCATTAATAAACATACGTATATTAGTCAACTCAAAGGCAGTGCTATTGTAGACCTCGAGAAAGAAGAGGTTCATTCAGGCAGGCATCATCATCTGGCACCCTCTGGGGGGGTGTCGCCAAAAAGCTGTGTTCTACATGCAGAAAAGAAAAATGACTCAAAAACTTTTTTTCCTGAAAAAGGGACCACAGATGGAGAGATAAAAACGCAAGTGAAGGGAATGTTGGAGGCAAGTGGTGGGGGGGTTGTTGTGGAAGATGAGGCACAGGAGGGAGGCAAGAAGAGGAGACTACTCACGGGGGAACACACTCCATATGAGGCTACACACGTAGCAGAGGTAATTACAACGCAGAGTTGCAAAGGGCAGGAAGAAGAAGAAGGTGCAAAGAAGGAAGCAAGTGAAACTTGTGTACCTCTGTGGGGTGTGAAGCAGGAGAGTAGAATAGAAGAGCAACAAACTGATCAGGGTAGTGTTGTGTCGAGGCTTCAGGAAAACCACCCCGTGGAGACATACCTTCAAATGGGAGACCTGCCATCCGTGACGCAGCAAATGAAGAAGGAACCGATTGGAAGTACTTTCGAAGGGGAAGAGGAACAAGAATGGAATCGTCTCAGCGCAGTAAGTGGGTTGAAGAATAAATCAGATGAGCTAGTCACGAATGAAGAAACTGGTTTTGTTAATGTGTACGTATTTGATATATGCAAACACAGAAACAGTATTATTATGTTTGGAAGGACCTTGACCAAGTTTAAGCTGTATAGAAGTGTCAGCATATACATTGAGGACATGTACAGGTGCTACTACTTCCTGTTGACAAAAAATATAATTTATAAAAAAGATGGAGTCGAAATCACCTGTGGGCATAAAAATTATAACACATGTATTTTATCGGATTTCCTAGAGGAGTTCCAAGCGGTGAGGAAGTACCATAACATTGAGAGCATCAAGTGTAAAATTGTTAAGCGAAGAAATTTAAATATAAACTCGAGTGATGAAGATGTGTATGCGAAAGTTTTTTACACATACAACTGTGACCCCATCAGCGACAAGTTCCTCTCTGGAAGGACCTACACCTCTTTCTACTGCTGCAATGAAGACATTATCGAAAATTTTGTTATTAAAAAAAATTTGAAACTCCCCTGCTGGGTGAAGGTGAAAGGGGTCAAAGTGAACCTCACTAATAATTTGACCTACTGCTACTTCGACTGCACTACGGCCAACTGGAAGAATGTCTACCCGGTGGAGAAGCGACTCGAGGGGAAGGTGTCCTCTGGGGAGGCCCCCGCGCGCACGATGAACGCGATGAACGCGGTTAGCGGCGTGAGCAGCGGTGTGAGTAACGGTGCAGCTGCCACTCCCCAAACAAGTTGCAACGCCCCGGAGGAGACGCAAAAAAAGGGGGACGCCAGCACGGGGGGGACCACCCACCTGATCGACCTGGACTTGAACAAAGTCATTATCAAGGTGGTGTCTCTCCTGAACGAACAGAACCACCACGAGGTGTTCAGCATCTGTTCCATGGTCGAAGCACAAGGATTAAAGTATATAAATTTCTGCGGCATATCTTCAAAGGCAGGAAAAAAAAACCTCTACACATATAACAAGAACAATGCCAAGGTATTCGACTCAGAGAAAAATCTCCTCGAGGCTTTTCTACAAAAGTTAAGAACCCTCGACACCGACATCTACATAGGTTACAATATTTTAAATTTCGATTTGGAGTTCATTATACATAGATGCAACGTGCATAACCTGAATGCAGACTTTCTAAGCAGGAAAAAGAAGCTGAAGAAAAATGACAAAATGAAAGTGAATAAGTTTAATGGTACAAGTAGCACAGGGTCCATGTACAACATCATTCAGCATATAAAAGGAAGGCTCATAGTGGACATCTACCTGTTGTGTAAAGATTTGATTAAACTTACTAGCTACAGCATGGACGAGATAATTGATAATGTGAGGAACAAATTTCAGGAGAGAGGAGGTCGCACGGCAAACTCAACCAATAAGACAGTCAGCGGCGCGTCGTCTGGTACTCCCCCTCCCAACGTGTTCAAAGACTTCTCCGTAAACAATATAAACCTTCTCAACTGTAGCAACATTCACCTGTACGACGCGCAAGAGATACTTGAAAATCACCTGAACATGTACATACATAGCCAACTTTTCTGCGTGCAAGAAATTGGAAATGTGTGCAAGGTCTTGCAGATCATTGAGAAGACTAGGGACCTGACCAAATTAAGTGGGTACCTTTGGTCGAGGAGTCTTCTATGCTACACCAGCGAAAGGATTGAATATTTTCTCCTCCACGAGTATAATAGGAAGAAATTTATCACTCCTGTGGTTAAGAAGAGAATTAAAAAGATTGAAAATGAACAAGTAAAAAATAAAGGTGCAGCAAAATATTCAGGGGGACTTGTACTGGACCCCCTCTGTGGCTACTACGACACGTTCGTACTCTACTTGGACTTCAACAGCCTGTACCCTTCCATTATCATCGAGTACAATGTGTGCTTTAGTACTTTGAAGGGGAAGGGTGTACACACCGACATGGAAATCAACAACGGAGTGGAAACCTCAAATAGGGCGGCGAATGATGACATGGACAAGGAGTTGGGCGATCCGGCAGACTCCACAGATGTAACGGAAGGGGACCCTGGTGAGGTCCTGAACCCAAACGAAGATATCGAAATTGATAATTTCGATAAAAGCAAACCTGGTATCCTACCTTCTATCCTTAAGAACCTTGTGGAAAAAAGAGCCTTTATAAAAAAGCTAATTGCAAATGAAAAGAATAAAGAAAAGAAAGAATTGTTACTAATCCAATCTCTCTCCATTAAACTCATAAGCAATAGCATATATGGTTGCCTGGGGAATACAAACAACCGATTCTACGCTAAACACATCGCTTCTTTTATTACACTCAAGGGAAGGAACTTACTCCAGCACACCAAGTCTAGGGTCGAGAGAGAATTTAACTTGAAAGTCATTTATGGTGATACAGATTCTATTATGATTGACACAGGATTAAAGGCGCAGGGAGTTAATAATTATAAAGAGGCTTTCAGATTAGCCCACGTGATTAAGAACACCATTAACAAAAGTTATAAGAAACTCGAACTAGACCTCGAGTGTATATTTAGTAAGCTGCTCCTGTTGAAGAAGAAGAAGTATGCTTGTGCAAAGGTCATGGATGCAAACATGGAGCGATGTGAATACGAAATGAAGGGAATCAATTTCATTAAAAGGGATTTCAGCAAAATTTCAAAGCTGATTGGAAATGAGGTGTTGAAGATTATTTTTAGTGGCAACGATGGGAAGGGCGCGGCTGACGGCGTGCAGGTCCCCGTGGAAAACGACCTCTCGGAGCAGATCCACGAGTACCTGCGCGGCGTGCACCAGCGGATTCAAGCAGACGAGTAAGCTCACACGCGTAGCGGAGCGTAATATTGTTGGCATCGCGTCGCCGCTTTCTCACTTGACCGCCTCACATTTTTCACCGCTTCTGCACTTCTACCCCTTAGGTTCGATCTGGACTTCTTCGTAATCACTAAAAAGCTGACGAAGAACGTGAGCGAGTATCAGGAGAAGAACTCGCTGGGGCACGTGTTGGTGGCGGAACGAATGATGAAGGACGGGTATAACATCTGTGTCAATAAGGAGATACAATACTGCGTGTGCACGAGTGAGGACGCGTGTAAATTCTTCAACAAGTCAGGAGGTGAAAAGCTTAGCAACTCCCTTTGCTGTTTCAGTGTGAGCGAAATACAAAAGTATAATATGAAAATTGATAAGGACTACTACATACGGAATCAAATCCTCGCTCCTATTGGCCGTCTGTGTCAGTATATTGAAGGAACCAACACAGAAAAATTGGCTTCATGTTTTAACATCTTCGATGTAAGAGAAATAAAAAGTGACCTACAAATTGAAGAGAATTATCACGAGGCAAATGTCTTGTCCTTACTGAATGAGTCAGAGGAGAGGTTCAAGGATATTCACTTGAAGGGTTACCTGACTTGTTCATACTGTGCACACAACGTCAAACCAGCTATCTTCATAAAATACTTCCGGTGCAATAACTGTCTTAAATATTTGTCAATTGAAAAAATAAGGAATTATATTTTTTCCTTCATTCATCACTTATTTGCTACCTTCTACAAGCAGCTTTACGTTTGTAGTAGCTGCCTGGTCAAGACCAGACGTGTGTTTCTTAATGAGAATAAGGACTGCCCAAGCCTCAACTGCGAAAACCCCAAGGGTGCCCTCAAGCCGCTCGTTTCGAAGAAGTACATCTACCTCATGCTCGAGTACTTTCTCTTTTTGCTCAGGGACAATTTGAGGGAGGTTCCGGAACATCTCGTCGAGGGGAACGTGCGGGAAGGAGCCAGCGGTCAGGAGAAGTCAGACCAACACGCCACTGCGGACGCCGCTGCGAAGCCAGACCGGCACGCCACCACCAACCCCTCTGAGGGAACAACCCCGTACGCATCCGACGTCTTCCTTCACGTCTGCGTCGATGAAAAATTTAAAACGCACATATTTACTGACCAAAAAACGCAGAAGAAAAATCTCAATGTGGAGGCCTACGACGATATATGCAACAAGAAGCAACTCGGGCTTACCATAACGAAGGGCCTACAGATGAAGTACCCAAACATTTCCAACTTCCTCACCTACTTGAACTTGAAGAGCAGTCAGTTCTGCATTAACTACAATGAGGAGAGGAACACCATTCGCCAATCCTTGCAGAGCCTCGTCCGCAACAATGTGTATGCGCAAATTTACTTCGACAAGGTCTTCTCCATCTTCCAGCAACCGCTGACCTCGAAAATTGCAGAGTTGTGAGGTTGGCGAAGATGGCGGCGGAGTAGCAGCGGAGTAGCAGCGGAGCGACAGAGCGATGGCGAAGCCAGTACTGCGTTACCCTCGCTGCGCACGCATATCAAGGGGGGGAACCACACACGGGCAATATATCCCCCCATTGTGGAATTTTTTTTTTTTTTTTTTTTTTTTTTTTTCCATGCTTAACCTCGGAAAAATTTTTAAAGCGAAGTAGGGTTGACTGTTTGCAAATGGGGCACTCAGATAATTTTCCCTCAACATGGTTTCCCATTCAATCTGCTAAAATGGAGTGACCTTTTTTTTTGAGGGGAAGACTGCCCCTTCTCTGTCATCCCTAATTCTGTTGTGTGCAAATTTCCACGCGGAAAATAAGCCCTATTTGGCTGCCTCGGAGCCGTGAAAAATTCCTTTCTCAGGGTTTTCACTCACACCTAAGTTTACTTTGCTTGTACAAACTGCCTCCATCAACAAGCCTTCCACCGCCAACACACAAAAAAAAAAAAATGAATTACTCATTCCTGGGTCAAAACAACCGGAAGGCAATCTTTACGATCATAAAGAATTATATAAACCTGTCACAGTATGAGCTCGCTCGGTCGCTGCTACACCATTTGGTGGTTACATGTTTGTTCACGAGGGATGACTTCACCAGAGATGACGTCAGGAGGAGGAGGACACGAACGGACATGTCGACGGAGGAGAAGCTGTATTACCTAAAGAAGACTCTCAAATTCATGCGAAGGTTTCTACCCTATGGTTGCTCTCCTCTTCAAATTTTTTCAAATGAACAATCCAGCGCTCACTTTCTACTCAAGGTGGCACGAGACTACAACCGGTTCGTTGACTTGATATTCGGGAACCTACTCACCACCTGTGGCGTGAGGAAAGCACATCTGGGAGGGGAACCATGGAGAAGCGTCACGAGACTGCCCCGCCATCTCCGATCCCTCTTGAGGAAGAAGTACGTGCCTAAGCAGCTGCAGAACAAAATTGCCTTCGATGTACTTCTAGCAACCATAATGGTGCACAGGGAGTACTACCTCTGCGCATTTGAAGACCCCTCGTTTTTTCCCTTTTCACTCGACACGGTGCAGTGTCTAAGGAGGATCTATTATATGTACGTGAAGGGGAGGGAACTGCTCTTGGGGAGGGGGAAGCGAGGAAGGAAGAAAGACCTACCGGGGGATCACCCTCATAAATCATCAACACGGTGGAAAGCCAAAGTGAAAAAGGGCCAGTGGCGTCTCCTCAACTTATTTAACCGCATTGTCCCATTCAACGTGCCAACCAGGGGAACTCTCCACAAAAAAAACACCCCCCACATGGGTGGTAACTCTCCTAACAGAAGAGCAAAACGTTCATGTGGTTCAAAAATAAGGAAAACAGATCAGCTACACGAGGTAGATGAGCTCGTTCTTCACTGCTGCAGAGTGGTATATGGTGAGAAGGCCGATCGGGTCAGAGGGAGCACTCATGTAGTCTCTTCTAACCATGAAGAGAATGAAGAAGACAAGAAAGACAAAGGGGAAGGAACACCATCATCCATGCACATAATATATATCCCCCCTCTTCACATCATTAATAAAAGACCCATATATAATTATATAAATACTTTTGAAGAGGAGACACATTATTTTTGCCAGCACAACGTTGTGACATCACTCTATCGGGAGCTGTTCTGCTTGGTGTTTTTCTTCCCTGCCTTGGGCGTTGAATTACTTAAGACCCTCTGCCTAAACCAGTCCTTTTTCGATTTCCTCCTCACTCTTCTTCATTTGCTTCATTCCGAAGGGAGTCACTCCGCGGTTGGCAATTACGTGAAGGATGGATCAGATGGAACTGCTGAATTGGGGGCAGCTAGGGAGGGGGGCGTTTCTGTGCAGATGAGGGTAGGTCCCACGAACGGGAAGAACCCCGTCAAGGCGGACGCGCCACTCGAGACAGGAATGGAGGCGGAGACGGAGACAGAAGCAGAGACGCCACCCATCCCAGTGAGAAAAAAAAAAGAAAAAAAAAAAAAAAAATTCATAAAAAATTGCTACTTCATATTCACACAGCTGTACTACAGTGTGGTCGAAATCTACATCCATGTCCTGGTAGAGAAGTTAAAAAAAAAGGACTTGGTGAATTACTTCAATTTTTTGTACCTGATCAAGTTTAACCACATTTTTATGAACAACGCTTTTTTCTTTTCCATGTGCTTTGCAAATGTGAGACATCTCACAGATGGAGAGCTCAACGGCGAAGAAAAACACCGGAGAGAGTTCCCACTTGACTCCTCTCATCACACCAATGTAAAGGACGACAGGGGGGATACTCACCTGAGAAGTACCCCCCAGAGGAATCTCCATCTCGCTCAAAAGGCTCTCCACAAGGTTTACGATTGGCTGGTCCTCCTCGTCTTCCACTTCAACGGTGACGAAGGCGCAGTGCACCACTTTGGCCACTGTCCCGAGTACCCCCCAGACAGGCACAAAAAGGAGAACGAGAAGAAGGACGAGAAGGAGGAGAAGAAGACGAAGGAAAACAAAGAAGATGTAACCTTTTACAAAGTCCTCCTCAGGGGAATCGTCCTCCACATACCCATTAATTACTCACACATACGAGCCATTTTCTTTTTTTACGTGAATAAAATGAAAGAGAAGAGGGAGGAAAGGACCAGTCCAAAGACTAATCACAAGAAGAGCGTCATGTATGATATACTCATGTCCACTAACACATTTCGGTGTTCCGATCAAGGCCTAGTGGTCAATGTGCTTCTTCACCTGTTCAATTATGCAGACGATCTGTACTGTCGCTGGGTGCAGACATGCGCGTTGTATTATCACGTGAGGAGTAGAGGGAAGGAGGATCTCCTGTTTTGTCTCAACGGATCGCGGATAAGGGGTGTGCACTTCCTCGGGTAATTCAAATATGCCTTAATGGGGTGATATGACAAAACCCTATATGGGCGTAATGTATTTTACTTTTTTTTTTTTTTTTTTTTTTTTTTTTTTTTGCCACACCGCAGCTACCTGTTTGACCTCTGCCAAGTACACATGGCTAATCAGGAGTTCCTCCTTTTGAACAGACTACTTCAAAATTTTAAGGAACTAAAAAATTTGTGCATCCTTTTCTGCCTGGAGAATGCGACGGACGTGCATGTGAAACTAAAGTGCCTCTCAGAGATGAAGGCCAGCAGGAACAATGTATACCTTTACAATTATATAAAAGACATGAAGGTGAGGGTTAAGATCTCCTCTCACCACTACCACTTGTACAAACAAAACAGGAGAGTAAAACATGGATGTGACGAACGCAGATTGACGGAGAATGAAATTTTTCTCGCGTTGAAGGAGTCTTCCAGTGCCGCTTTACTGAATCAGCTCCACCTGTTACACTGTGTTGGGTACACTTTTCTCGCGAAAATGGCACAGATGGCTCGATGCAAAATTAAGAATGATCTGTACAGGCGGGAGGTCAGAATGAACACCAACTTTCTCCTTTTTTACGCATCCATGAGGAGTGTCTTCCTCTGCTTGCAAGGGTGAGTCAGTCTCAGTGTGTTGTGTGGGTGGGGGGGCCCTCTCCTCTCCCATCCATTAACAACGTTGTTCACCGCGAGCTACTTCTCGTCATATACGCTACTTATCACCTCCCCCATGCAGGCGCGGAAACGTGGAGCAGATCAAGACCTACTACAAACTCATAACCTACCGGGAGTGCCGAGTAAAAGCCCTCCTGTACATAACTGTTCTCGTCTTCCAGGGCATACGCATGAGACAGGAAGGGGTGAAGCCACACCTTTTCATGTGGATAATACACTTCCTCTCACGTAAGCTGCGATATATAAAGCAAGACAAGTCCCTTTTTTTATATAACTTGAAATGTTTGTTAATACAAATTGTATGCGATGTGTACGTCCGTCTGTTTGTTTTCATACAAAAGTGTAGAAGTATACATGTGGATTCAAAAAATGGAAAAAACGGGTTCAGACGGGTTCTAAGGGATTCCCACAAATTTTGCATCAGGGGAAGGGAAGATGCAAAATTAGAAGCGCTTTACCAGATGAGACAAAATTCAAATGACAGGGGTTCTCAGAAGGAAGTACTATTACAAATGGGAGGTAGGAGTCACTCTGCTGGGGTGGAAAGCAAACTGGGCTTAGTTCAACAACCAGTATCTGTCACCCCCCAGGGGAAGAAATTGCGTCACGGGATAGCACCCATGCTTCCATACACAAGAGTAACCACAGAACGGGTTCTGGTGAGTCACCTAATAGGAAAAGTAAAAAGAATTTCATCCATGGGGGGGGTGCACATAAAACGAACGTCTAAAGGGAGTGCGGCACGGAGAAAAGGAAGCTCCGTCTTCAATTATGTAATTATGGTGGAGAGGTACCTGCGGAGGGAGGAGCGCTCCTCTACCAAGCGTACACTACCCCTGGGTGGTCTACATGTGAATAATGAGCGCTTCAACATGGGTGACCTGAAAAAAGCAGACCTGAAGAGAGCCGACCTGAACAACATCTCATTCGGGAGGCACTTCCTAGAACTCATGTGCAGCGACCCCCAGGAGTACCTCTACAGGAACGTTGCAGACGGGAGGAACAATCACCTGAACATGTTCATATTTTTTATATACAAAAAGCAGGTTTCGACAAAATCGCTGCGAAATTTGTTGCACTATCTCGAATTGAACACTCTCTTTAAGAGCCTGTACATGGGTCAGCCTACTTTGTCATGTAAGTGGAGGGGAGAGACCACACTTCAGAATAAGTCTCTCACCCCCTTTTTCGAAATGATGCTTTTTTATTATGAGCAGTACAGATGGAACGAGGTGAACAGGTACCTCTTACCCAACAGCTGTGGTGTCGACTTGTTCTCTCTTTATAACTTCCTGGACATGTGTGTATCGTGTTCGAACACAGTGGAGAGTGGGGTGGCTTTGCTCCGCTTCGTGAGGAAGCGGATACGAAGGGGCGGTGTGCCTTCCCCCCCTGCACGCCTGGCTCATTTCCTCCTCTGCTTCGTAAATCGCCTGCACGTTCTTATAAGCATAAAGAGCAGGCCGTCCTTGGGGGACAGAAAAAGAGAAAACCCGAATCGAACGAAGAAGGAAAGAACAGAAACAAATCCCTCGAGAAAGACACCACGGATCGTAAAACCAGTGCTTCTAAATAAGTACCTGCTGCTGAAATGCAACTCACTAAAGGTGCAGTCCAAGTTAATTGAAAAATATTTTGTGGACCTGTACAAGAGAAAGCACTTCCTCAAGGATATGTTTCTCAGATTCAATAATTTAAAAAGGAAAAAAAAAAAATACATAAATGTGAAGTACGAAGAGATGATCAAGTGTCTGAATAAGTACTGCCACCTGCTGCTACAAAATGATGAAGGAGTTACAATTAATTATTTGTTTTTTTTTTTCCTGTATGCAAAAATTCTTATTAAAAATATGCACAGCTCAATGACGGACAGACCATCACAGCGAAGCTTTTACCAATTCGCTTCTAACTCTAAGGAGAAATTTTCCAACCCTGAAATTATTTATGAACAGGGGATGAACTACAACCTTTTTTTCATTCTAACTGTGGATGTAGACAGACTGATAAAATTCTGTCTCTTCTTATGTAACTCCTTTTCGAATGCCAGGAGGATGTGTTCTCTCTTCTTCATTCACTACCACAGGGTGCTCGTACAAAATATTGGCACTCAATGTTGTGTAAAAAATTGCTTTCCTTTATTTCCTTCCGATTGGAGGAAGGACTCAGCGGAGACGATCTTCACGACGTCCTTTCTCCGTACGAAGAAGCCTAATAAAGATGTGACCCCTCGAAAGTCCTCATTAGGGTATAATTACATCAGGGGAAAATGTTCAGAACAGCCTGAGGAGAAGCACCTTACGGGTGAGTTTTTCTTCTTCCTTAGCGATGTCGTTGGGGCGCTGGAGCAGGTGAAACGAAGAATCACTCCACGTGAGGGAAAACGAAGGAAGAAAAAAACGTGCAAGTTGAAGCTACTCCTTTTGAAGTACCTCCAGCACGTGATCGACACACAGGAAGGGGTAACACCAGATGGGCAAATGAAGTCACGTGCTGGAGGAGGTAACCCAGCTGGGATCCCCCCTGAGCAGCGTTTTTGTAACTCGAAGAAACAGTGTAATGAAGACAACCCCAGTGTGGAAGACAAAGATGAGCTAATGAATCTGTTCATATGCTTGGAGAAGTGCGACCAATACTTTCCATTTATTTTTAACACCCTCTACGGATATGCCTTTTCAGAAAAGTACAATTTTTTGAATAGGCTCATCGTGGAGAGGTACAACAGCATTAAAAAGATTCTCTGGATCTGTCACAGGGAGCGGGGAGTCTCGGCCGACGACGGCGTCCTGCAAGCGGTTAGCGAAGATGTCAGTTGGAGCCACGTTAGCGGTGTAAACCATGTTTGCGGCGTGACGGGGTTTAGCGTGTACTGCCTCAAGTACGAAGACCTGGAACACCTGAACGGATTCACGAGGTGCCTCCTCAACGCGGCCATGTTCGACGGCCAACATAACATGGACTGCCTGCATCTGTACGAGTTAGTGAAGGCACCCAAGGGGGAGACAAACGTGGACCTCAACACGAAGAAGAAGCTAAATAAGTTTTACGAACCCCTTTTAAGAAAAATGCAGAGTGCCTCCAGCGAGGAAGTATTCAATAATCCATTTAAATTAAAAAGAAAAATGTTTAGTAGTGCACCTCGTAATTTTCTGAAAAAAGAAGAACCCTTCACATACCTCCTGAGAGAGACAACCCCCCTGGAGAGTCTCCTCGACGTTGTCGTAAATTTATTCATGAAGGACGACCACACGCTGAGCAGGATGACTTTGCAAGAGGTGATCCTAGTCTTGAATACCAGCTATTGTAGGTGTGAGGAATTTCTAAGTGAAGATCAGGCAGTTTGGGTAGACACTCTCCGCTGCTGTGACGAGGTCGACTGCTACACTTTGGGGAGACTTCCTAACACCCTGCGTGGGAATGCCATCAAGGTGGGTGTGTATATGAAGGTGCTGCGGATGGTGAAGAAGGTGCAGCGGGTCCTCAATGAGGAGGCAGGGTTGCACGAGGAAGACCCGTCTAATGCAGTGCACCGCTCTACAAAGCAACGCGCCCACTGGGTGAAGATCCTCAAAGCCATTGTGAACGAACCAATGGGGGAGCAGGACACGATAAAATTCATCACACAACATAGGCTATTCAAACATGCCCCCTTTCTCCTAAATTACAAATTGGGTTCAATCACCAGCGACTCCAAAAGGAAGCAGACCCTACAAACACTGGAGACGAAATGCAAGGCAGCTTACATTTTACATCTCTGGAGGAGCCATAACCCTAGGAAGAAAAAAAAAATTATTTCCTTTTTGAAGAATCTAAAGGAGGAAAAGGAAGTCCAAATTTTACTAAGCAGAATACTCTATCATCGAAACAACAACCAAGACATGCAAAACTTTTTTTCATTTATACATTTTCATTTTAAAGCAAATTTTGTGAAAAGGTTCTACCTGCTGTCACTCGTGTCACACTCATTGCAGGTGCAACCAATCAGCAGGATGAAAATTAGGCAACTTTTTTTTTCTCTTTTGTGGAGAGACAAATTGGATCTAATCAGATTCATCCTGAGGAATGATTTGTACAGACCCAGATTGTACACTCTCTTTCGTTACGCCTTTCTGTGCATTCATATTGATCTGTCCACGTGTGTTTCGTCTAAGCGAGCACTGTGGAAGGAGCATACAGGGGGGAGGACGCACTGCCGAGGAGAGAATTACGAACAGAAGAACGCCCCTCCCTACAGTTTGTTCAAATGTTTATGCGTTTTGCAGATAGCTGCGTTGGTGCGTGGAGAAGACAATGAGCAGCTCGCGTACGCCACGTTCCTGCGCGTCACACAGGTGCTCTTCGACCGGGTGTGCCGCTGTGTGGGCGACACGATGTGTAAGGGGCTCTGTAACGACCTGCCTGGGGAAACTCCTCTCCGCGGCTGCGTAAAACTGAAAAAGGCTCGCCAAGTGAATCGCCAAATGAATCGCCCAGCCATCGCCAATGGAAACAAGGAACCGCCGCCACACGGGAAGCTCAAAAAGAAGTTCAGCCTGTTCGGCCAATTTTTTCACAAGCACCTCAACGCCAACGGGGTTAAGACAAAGGGAAAGAGCGGCAACAACGCATACATCAGGCATTACGATATTGTTAAATTGGAGGAAGCACCACAACCAAGATGCTACCAGAACAATGTAAGGAAAACACAAATGAGCATAAACATCCTCTTATACACCTTCTATAAGGTATGTTTATTCTTTTACGAGCACTACAAGGAAATGAGAAGACAGAGCAATCTTCTATGTACTTTACTCCCCATGCTAATATATGTGCAGACGTCCTTGCAGTTCCGGGTACACCTGAAGTCGGTCATGAAGCTAGACATAACAGATCTGATTGATTTACTAAAGGTGAAAAATTTCAACTTGTGTAACCAACTGATCCATCGCATATATTCTTCGTACATCTACAATGTGAATCCCTTTGGTGTGTTAGGAGAACCCACTTTGTTCTTCCCCTTGGCTAGCTCAAAAAGAAGATTCAACAAATACAAAATGGTGAAAAATATCGTGTCGCTCCTTCGATGCAGAGAGGGACCAATGATCAGAGACGTGCTACCCTTGCGGAAGGTCAGCAACTTTTATGTGTATAAATACGCCCACGAGACTTGTGTGTATAGACAGTACGTGGATATGGCAGGAGTGGTGGCCCGTGAGTTGGGGGCGGACAGGGAAAGAGTTCTATATGAAAGGGATGTTGTGAAGTGTAGCAGTGTGAACGCGGTGAACCGGGAGGACCTGTCGCGGAAGGTGCAACGGCTCCACTTCAGCGTGCTCGCGTTCTACGTGGCACTCTTGTCCAAGTGTAACATGGACCTATACTTGTCTCTGAATTTATTTTTTTCCTTCACCTGCACATACCACTGCTCCAGCAATGTGTACAAGAAATACAAAAATTTGATTTCCCATTTTTCTAATGTGCACGTGCATCAGGGGGGGACAGTCCTGGCGAGTATGAACAATGACATGGGGATAAGTGAACGGACTGCCCATAAGCTGCTCAGCAGAAATGGCGGCAGAAGCAGCGGTAAAAGCAACACCGCCCGCATACGTCACCCAAGGGTTATGTACAAAATGGTCCTGCAAGTGAGCTCTGAAAGGGGGGTCCACCCCTGGAAGGGTTGCACCTACTTGGGTCACATTTGGCTCGAACTCAAAAAAGAAAGGAATTCACTGGCGAAGGGAGTAGGTCCCTCGGTGACTTATCATCTTGTAAGAAGCGATGACGTGGCTTTGTTCCACCAGATATTTGTCCCCAACCGGAGCGGCAATCGTATTTCTTGCAGCAGATTAAACAGGATTGACCTACTGTTGCAGGCCACCTCCACCCTCTCTCCACAGAGCATTTACTCTCCGACCGCTTCAATCTACGTCAGAAGGCACCTCCTCACCAGCGTAGCTTTCTCCTACTTATACAGCTACCAACATGATATATATTTTGGAGGGGACTGCCGAGACATACCATCGGTAAGAGTCCTCACACAGAAGCAGCTCCTTATGTATGCCATTGAAAATATAAACAACCCATATGTGGTGATAAGAAAAGGGATGCATCCCGTGGAGGAGTGCCCAGTACGTCGAGGAGCCTGCCCAGGAACAGAAGGAGAAGGCACAAAAATGAGGGCAAACGATGGGGGAGATAAAAAAGGGAGCAGACTCCCCAATGCAAAGACAAGCATGATGAGGAAGGCTCACCAGTCGAGAGTAGAGCAACTTAAGAAAAAACAAAAGACCTTTACATTCAAAAATTATTTAAGACAAAAGAGAGTAGAACGAAATATCATTCTGTTCAGGCAAAAATTAAAAATGTTCCAACAGTATATTAAAAGGATATACAATGAATCCCTGCAAAGACATGTGTTCGAGTTCTTCTCATCGAGTCAGTTGACTAATCATTACGAGCGTTTCTTCAATGACATGGATGCTCCCTGTTCATTCCCTCTCTGCTATGCATACCCGAGTAGTAACCTAGCTTTGTGTGCTCAGTACTTTAAGAAGAGCTTCCACGAGGTGTGTGCAGATATGGCTCTCTCTAAGTGTGATGGACGGGTGGATGGAGGCACCTGTGCGGGAAAGACAAGGAACTTTCTCTTTGTCACGTCCTTGTTGTTACCTTATGGCGCTCGGTAGGTGCAGTCGCAGTGGTGGTTGTCGCGGCGCTTTCACCGATTTGCCTCTTTTTACCGCTTTGCCTAATTGCCCTCCCTCCCTGCAGGTGCCCGCGGCTGCCAAGCTACAACTGCGCCAAGTGTGACCGCGGCCGCCTGGCCGCCCTCAGGAGCTACTTTTCGCCGGACACCCTGCTCAGCGTCTGCACCAAGAGCGACCTGACCAAGGACTGCTTCAGGATCATTCACAAGAAGGTGCGCCTGGGAGGACCACCTTGCCCAGGGTGCAATTGCTCAACTGCGCATATGTACTGCCGCGCAAATGTAAAACCGCTAAACCGCTTAACCGCTTAACCGCTCAATGGCCCCCCCTACAGGGAGCGTCAAGTGCACAGTTCAGCCGCCTCATCAAGAGGGCATGCAGGCACAACTACATTTACAAAATGTTCCAACACGTGTCTCGCCTCGAGGACCCTCGTTTCCAGCGCGTAAGTTGGTTCCATTCCGTTGCGCCTTCACACGCACCTACCCTCTTCCGGGTTACACCCTCTCCCATCACATACAAACCACCCCCCCGTATTTACCTCCTCCTCGGTTAGGAACTAAAATGCCATTTGATGAAGCGAAGGATGTACGCCCTGCTGTATAACTACCTGGTAGGTGGACACATCTCACCTCGCACATTTCCAATGGCGCCTCCCCCGCAACAAAAAAAAACCCACATATATATATATATGTATGATTGCGGCGAGTAAAAACGATGTTGCCCTGCACAACACCTTGTAGGTTTTTTCCGGAGACTACCTCAACGCGGTTATACTCTGCGTACACAATTTTTCCGTCGCGCAAAACACGTAAGGAGAAGATGTGGAAGGGGACACACCGCATCATCCATTGTGTGTCTCCTTAGAGGATCCATTCTGGTGGGCAGAACTAATCACCCACATGCGAACAACCGAAAAAAAAAAAAATAAAAAATCCTTTTAAATGCTCCACCTTTTAGGGATACACAAAATGGCTACCTGAACAGCGCCCTCGTGAACCTCACCCTGATCACGAACACGTTTGAGTAATTTTTTTTTTTTTTTCTCGACTTAAGGAGGTCCACGGAGCAGTCTTGTTCAGACGTGTGTCTCCGCCCGTTAGAAGCGTGCCCCGTTTCATCCCATTCCCCTCCCCCCTTCTCTTGTCGCAGCTCCAAGGTGGAATCTACCTGCACAAGGAAAATGGCCCACGAACCTCTTATCATATATAACCACAGCCGCCTTCGCAAGAGGAGCAGCAAATTTTATCGCCCCAGCAATTTTAACATCCTTCTGGGGCAGATGCAAAAGGGGCAGCGTCATCAAGTCACCATGGACACGATACACAGGTAAGGGTCCCTGCATAAGTCGGACACATCCATGCAAAAGAGAGTCCATCTTATCACCACCATGAGACAGAAAATACATGTGGTTAATGAATAAGCATATAGATGCACTTTCCCCCCTTTTTTTTGCGCGCACCACAGATGCATGGACCTCATAACCCTACAGCACACACTCCTGAACGCCCAGCTGGGTTACCCGGTGAAGATTATGAATTGTAAACGCGTGGAGATCCTCCTGTGCATACAAATTTTAGTTTATAAGAAAAAGTATAACCTCGCTGATAACGTTATTAATGTGTATCACTGGAAGTACACCTTCACGTACTGCCTGGCTTGTCTCTTCTGCGTATTGTTAAAAAAGAATTTCTGTTTCCTGGAGGATGTGTTGCATTACGTTAAGATAAAGCTCAACAGCGAAGACATGAATATGTTCCTTCTCCACGTCCTGCACTTGTTTTTGGAGTATCGCACCAAGTGGAGGCACGTCTACGAGCATGTGAAGCGGGCGTACGGTGGCCACCGCCCTGACGACGTGCATGGCGACCTGCATGACGACCATCCTACAGACGACACATCCAACCGGCGTGACCTCCTCCACGATGTGCTGCTCCACATCACGGACCACGACTGCCTCTTCTACGCGCACACCCTCCTCTTCATATACGACAAGCAGCAGTACGCAGGCATCCTCAAAAATATGAAGCGCCTCTTATTCAGTAACATTTGTAAAAATGAAATTTACAAAACAATTATTGGAGCATACAAGTTTGCCCACCAGGATCGGCGAATGAACTTCAATTTAATTCATGCGCATAGGAAGTCCTTTAAGAAGGTTTCTCGGCGCAGGATGAGCTTAACGCACCTTGGTAGCATTGAGGAGGACTACAACTTTGCGCAGCTGATGTCGCTGGGCAAGAAGTACCCAGACAATATAAAGCAGAACATCCTGCGCGAAATTTTGGCCATTCGTGGTGGAGCGGTGTAGAAGCGGTGTAGAAGCGTAGCGACCAGCCAAGTGGACTACCCAGATGCAACATTGGATGTCCGTTCTCGCTCCTCCCTTCTCCTCCTGCACGCATATACACTTCTGGCGCTCCTTAAAAAAATTTGGTCAAGATAAAAATGTGTAAACGTGTTTTCCTCTTCCTGTCCCGCATTCCTGTGTTCGTTTTCTTTTTTTTTTTTTTTTTTTTGTAATTTCCGCACCTGCTACGTATGCACGTGTAGTTTGTTGCGTTCATCAGTTCTGCACGGGCAGTTACATTTCCCTGCTTAAAGAAAAATCATCATCGGTATATTTACTGTGAACAAAATGGCTCCTTCCAAATGAGGGGAGCTGTTCCCAACGGGGAAAGCACATTAATAAAGGAGCTTTATTTTGGCCCTTTCCCAATTTGGGGTGTGTTGTGGAACGGCTGTGTAAAAATGTTTCGTGCATTCGAAGAGGTCCCTGTTTAAGGACCAGGATCACGTCGCGCAATTCGAGTGCACAATTGCTCATCTGGGGGCGTTTCCGCTGGCGGCCAGTTCGCCCCGTTCAGTGCTGAATTTATAAAAAGTTGGCTCCTGCCCTTTTGGAGAGATCCGATCCGCATAGCCTTTTATATTTAAAAAAAGGGCACGTCAAGAGAGCGACCTAAAGGCGGAAACACGATGGTGCATATGCTAGGCGATGCCCACCTGGATACATATCTTACTTATTAAATTAGAGCCGACGCGGGGAAGTAGTTTTTTCCTCCGTTGAAGAAGCCGCTCCCCACAAGGGTTGTTAACAGGGATGAACCCACGCGTAACGAGCACCGACACATTCGTTCACACTCGCTTGGGGATATTCCCACTGGCAGGAGTGCCCCATCAAAGTTGTACAAACAAAACGTGAAAGACAACGTTACTCTCACAAGGGGCAAGAAAAACAAAGTTTGCTTTTTTTTTTTTTTTTTTTTTTTTTTCTGTATCTCTATATAGAAGAAAATGTAATAGCTCTTTTGGAACGGCCCACACGTTGCAGCTGTTCGTGGGTACACTACAATAAAAAAAAAAAAAGGGGTGACGTAACGGCAGGATGACCAATCGCTCAGGGGCACGGCAACACGGAGGGACGGTGAGCAGGATGAACCATCGCGCAGAGACAAGCAAAACAAACAGAAAAGGGACAGGAGAAGGAGTAAGCATGGAAAATATTAAAACCCTGTATCATATATTCTCCAGTGCGGATGGGATGCATGTCGATGGGGGGGATAACACAAAATGTTCCACACATATGCATGACTTGAAGGGTGCTGTGATAAGTGAGGGAGCAGTAGTGGTGTCCCCAAGGAGTGACAAAAATGGGTCGCCCCAAGAGAACGTTAATGTCACAAAGGGAACAAATAAAGAAAAAGAATTTTTACACCACTTCAATTACTTGAGCCATTTTGAAGAGTACAGTTGTTCTCACACCGCAGATGTAGAAAAAGGAAGAAACAAAAAAGACGAGCTCCCATTCGAGCAGGGTTTTGAGGTCGCACTCGATTGGGTCGCTTTGGAGCCAGTTGATCATCTGTGTGACTCCCACGCAAAAGAAGGGAGAGATGTAGAAGATGAAATTTTTTATAATAATTCAAAACGGGGGGGGAGTCACTTGAAGTATCACAACGTCGGTGGGGGGAAGCAGGACACGTCTTGCAGTCCCATCAAAGGGGAAAAATATGAACAAGTGCAAGGAAGAAGACTTTATGGGGGTGACGCTGCCCAGTTGAGAAGGGAAGCTAATCCACGTGAACACACCTCAACTGGAGAAAAAAACAAAAACGGTTTTGTAAGTGCACCACATGAGACCATTTATGAAGCGTTTGCCTCTCTTGCTACACAAATGGAAAATAAAGGGACCCACTTTTATAAACCATTTTATATGAACAGCAATGTGGATAAGCTGCTTTATCTTGAAGCTGAGAAGAGTAAACTCGAGAGGACAGAACAACCCAGGGGTGGGGCCAAAATTACCCCTTTGAATTGGGATAGGAAGTGTAGTACACTGACTTATTTACACTCCGGCAGCCATAAAGAAGGGGGAGAAAAGTCAAACGGGGAACAACCCCTCAAAACGGTGTTGCAGCCAAAATGCAACGTGGACAATGTGGAGGCCGAACGAGAGCAGGATCCATTTTTAAATTTCATTCATGAAGAGAAGAGCCCAGATGGGATCCCCTTTTTTGAGGAGCTGTCCTACAGGGAGGACTTCACATCTGTCATCTTCGATTCTCATGAGGCTGCAAATCGTGGGGTAGACAAGATGGACTCTCTTGAGGGAAATATTACAAAAAAGGACCTACTTCGAATGGATAATTTCCACACCCGTGATGGGTCCCCAATTGAAAGTGAAAATATCTTTGGTGGGTCTACCAACTTGGATGCGATGAAGAGAGGTGGGGGGGAGGGAGATCCGTTCAGCAAAGAATTGCCCATTTGGCAGAGTTCCCTCCTCGAGGGAGAGATCGAAAGTAATTTATTCGCGAGGGATGGTGATTACTTTTGTGGGAGGGAAACAAAAGGAGGAACGTTGCATATCGGACAAGTCACCAAAGATGAGCAGATCTGCGTAGGTCATGAGGAAGTGACGGGGAGAGACACCCACGTAGAGAAGCCGCATCAGTGGGGTAAGTCATCCCGTAGCGTGGATCTGTTTCAAGTGCACGATGGAAGAACAGAGGGCAACATGCAGTCTGATAGTCGCATTATGAATAATTCGTCAGTGGGAAGAATACAGTTAAACCACGAACTGATAAACCTGAGTGATGGTTCTTCCTCCGACATGGGGTGGACAAGGAAGGGGACGACACCTCCTCGTGGAGAAGCAAGTGTGGGGTTGCTCTCCCTGGAGGAAGAATACCCCAACGACTGTTTCTACATGATGAGGGAAGAGAAGAAGGAAGGTGATAAAAACGCCCTCTGGGGAAAATATGACTTCTTTGATTTTGAACACCTTGAGGAGGTAGGTGCACCTGAAAGGGGAAGCCCCGACTGGATCGGAGACATCTCCAATGGAGTGACAAGATGTGAAGTAGGAACGACAAAAGGAGATTCTCATGTGGGACTCTTAAGAGCGATGCGCTACCAAATGCATAGCAAGGTGGAGGGGGGGAGAGAGAAAGAGGTGGAAGACGTACTACTCACCTACCACGACCACTACCTAACCGAGCAGCGGATGATGGAAGAGGCTGCACCAAAGGACGACGAATGCAGCTCCTTCTTGGACATCATCGATGAGATCGTCAGCATAAGCAAAGATATAATCTGCACGAATCAGACTGAGGATGGCTTCGTGGAGATTCTACAAGGGGGTCCAGACAAGGGTATGGATTACTCACACATTGGGGGGCAATTTCAAATGGGCCTCCACCTCGATGTACCTGTCGGAGAAGTGGTAGAACCAGGTCACATGTCGACCCAAGCAGCTGTTTGTAAGGACCCACCTCAGGATAAAATTGCGAACGATGTATATTTTCACTTTGAAAAATTGACCGAGTCGTGTGGAAAGAGGGAAGACTCCATGCATGCAGCAGTTGATGGGGCAGATGACGGAGCAGATGACGGAGCATCTGACGAAAATTCTCACCGCTTACATGTGAGTGCCCAACAGGTGGCACATCTACATTGGAGAAACAGGTCCGGTGAAACGAAAGATGACACTAGTGAGATGCAAGAACAGGAGGACCCCCAGGAGAGACCCACTTGTGAGACCACCTCAATAGGGGCAGACCTACCAACTATGCAACTTTGTGAAGACCTATACCGCGTACTGATGTGTAGAAATTATTTGGAGGCACTTCCTGTGTTGGAGGAACACGTGTGGGGGGGAAGCGAGCCGATGGGAGGAGACAGATAAGCGGCCCAACCCATTGTGGTGTAAATAACTACCCAAGTGATAAGCGACCCCTGCGCGGAAACGTGAACCTGGTGACCTTCCACACCTACCTCCGCAGAGCCAAACAAATGAACAAGCGAGGCTTCACCGAAATGTACGACTACAACGATTACGTGTACACATACATGCAAAAAATTTTCCAAATGGACATAACGCGCTTCTTCTTCACCAGCAATTATCTTGAGAATGTGAACAGGTACATAATTAAAAAAAATAAATGCATTAATGACCTGACCAATGCTCAGAACTTCGTAAATGATTTTATACAAAAGAAGGAAAACGTCATTACACAGAAAAGGTTTTGTAATGACGTCACCTACTCAATGTACTTTTTAATTTTCACAAATCTGTTAGTAACCCTATGGCACACGACCTTGTGTCATTTGGACGAGGCCAACTGGAACCAGCTGGTCTCCTTCCTAATGAGGCGTCTCCGCATGAAGAAAACTGTTTATGTGTTAAAAAGGAGCCACTCCTTTCTGTCTCGCATTTATCGGTACCTCACCAAACGTGCCCTTGATGAAAAAAAAAAAAAAAAAATAATTATACTTGTTAAACGGAGCAGAAGCTTCAAAATGGTTCAGAAGAACGTATATAAAATTAACACCTTTTGTTTTTATGTACTCATTTTTTTTCTCCCTCTGTCTGTACCTCCATTTGTTAAGGACCTCAACACCCGTGACTACTTCCTGCACTCTTTTCTGAGAAGCATTAACAAAGTCGTTTTGAGGTATGCCAAGGAGTATACCGGCGGCGTGTCACACCATTCAGGGGGGTCAGTCAATTCGGAGGTGTCACACCGTTCAGGGGAGTCACACCATTCAGAGGGGTCAGTCAGTTCAGATGGGTCAATCAATTCAGACGGGTCAGTCAATTCAGGGGGGAACGTCCACGCTACCGCTCCCCCCTCACAATGCCACAGAAGCGAAAACATGCGCGACGTCCTCCGCAAAGCCGTGAGCAGCTCTCAGAAGAACATTTGCCGGCTGAAGATGCAGAGCCTCGCGCAGGTGTTTCGCTGCTCTTTCGAAAATGCCCCGCGAGGGAGTAGACCGGAAAGCGGAAGTAATAGCAAGCACTCAAACAACCTCGTGGACGCCATGCGGGACATACATATAAGCACGAGGATCGAGCAGATCGAGAAGGAACTCACTGCCTACCTCAGAGCAAACACCCACTTCTACCACACCTTCTTTAGCATCATCGTGCCCATGCTGAATGCCCTCACAATCCTTATGGAGAACCTCGAGGCGATCGTTGCCCTGTACGTAAAGCACAAAATACGGAAGAGCAGGAAGCTGCTTTTCTTTCGTAACCCCTGGTTGTGCAGCTATGACGTCTTCCTCTCCTTCAGTCAGTCGGTGGGACTCACCCCAACGACGCAGAAAAAAAATGTGGAATGGGCAGAGTGAATAACGTGAATAATGTGACTAGCGCGAGTAGCCTGAGTGGCGGCGTAGCAGGCAGTTTAACGGGTAACCTAACGGACGATTCAACTGGCAGCCTACCTTCAGACTTCGCGTCCTACATGGCGCAGCAGGACGGACAGCTGGAGCAAGACGACCTGGGCGCACTGTACCACGTCAAGAGGGTTAAGGAAATGCTGCTCTTGGGGAGAAGGAAAAAGGGCGAATCCCGCAGAAAGGCACATATGGACCGTGCAAATGTGGACCGAGCAGATCGCGCCAAGTTAAACGACTACTATTCCCACATTTTGAAGTTGTGCCAAGACGAGCGCTACAAAGAAATAAACACCAGAGCTTTGAGATGCCTATTGTACACTTTGTACTTTAGTTGATCACGCGGGGGGGGTTAGGTTAGGGTTACCCTTTTTTCCTTTCCCAGCCCCTCCGATCCTCCACTTAGTAATCATCCGTGTTAAGAAGTACGCAGCTGCGTGATACTTGTGGGGTGTGCTACTACCATTCCTCACTGGTAAAAAATAAAATAATGTAATTTTTTTTTTTTTAATATGTTTTTTTTTTTTCCTTGCAAATCCGCGTAGGGTCATCCCCACTGTGTTGTATGTACACTCTTTCGCGAGGATGGCCCCTGGGGTGCACTCACACATATAAGAGATTATGCCCCTTGCGGCCCCGCTGTTCAAGGGGAATTATTACTATCACAAATGTGCTTATATATATATCTGGTCAGGTAGACATATATCTACATGCTCGTGTTGCCACGCCTCCTCGAAGTCTTAACCGTTTATACGTGCACGTGGAGAGAAGTGCCCACTTGCACGCACAAAGAGTTCATTTTTGCAGGACGTGTGCCAACCACCTCATGCCCCCACCGTGTGCTCGTCCCTGTTAGTTACCCTCCCCCAAATGAGAAGGATACTACCAATTAGCGCGGGACCCATGCGACTACCTCCCATACCGCTGCGTTTGGTGCGTCGGATACTCCTGCTGTTGGTGGTACTGGTACTGCTAACCGCAGGAGGAGTAGCAAAATGTGAAGTGCCAGACGAGGGAAGGAACCAAGTAGACACACGAAACACAACTGAAGAACGCATTATGGATGTCCTAAACTCGGTTAGCGTTGATCAGTCTATTAAACGAGAAAGGAACATACTAGACGACGTGGCAAACTATATGCACTATTTGAGAATGCTCAACATGGTAGTCCCCCATGAGAATGTAGAAGGTGAGGGATTCATTAATGTTGACACTACTGGGAAGGGAGCCAAGGAAAAGCGAAGAGTTCACATTGTGTACTCTTCACAGGGGAACAATTACAAAAATAATTTAAACGACGTGAGGAGGGAAGTTAATAGAGTTTTATTTACTTAAAAGGGGATAACCGGGTGGGGGGTGTGCCTTCGTTTTCTCCCGTCCACGTAAATGCTTCACCTTTTTCCTAACACATGGGTGTAAGCAGTATTAACAAAACGTAGGCGGCGCTATTTGTTGAGGTACCCACTTTGTACCAACTCCCTAAGCGGGGAAATTGTATGCCCAAGGAGCGTTTGTTACTTTTTTGCTTTTTTTTTTTTTTTTTTTTAAACAAAATGAACTTAAATGAACTGACCCGAAATGGGACTTGTGTTCCTGAGAAGCATTTTGAAGAGTACCTCGGGGAAATGCTCCACCATTTAATTGGCCAGATAATGTGGTTACTGTCGCTACGCCCTTTACTTCCCTCTTTGTTGTGTGTTATTTTTTTATTTTTTATCATCTTTCTTTTTTTCCCTCCTTGTTACGACGGAACATGCATGCAGCATAACATCGCTCACTTATATCCCACGTGGTCTAGTGGCTAGGATATTCGGCTCTCACCCGAAAGGCCCGGGTTCAATTCCCGGCGTGGGAAAAAAAAAAAATTTTATATATACAAAATAATTATATTATAAAATATATATATATATATATAAAAAGTATTGAAAATAGTTTTGAATAAATAAAAAAATACGAGCAAGTAAAGCAAAAATGGAAATTCCTATTAATGTACCAGCAAAAAATAAATTGGCCCAAAGCGTGCCAACCGTGCTGACAATTTATATTTAACGCGGCTTTATTATTATATATAATAATTAATACCGCGGAAACATTTTAACGAAATTGCCTTCTTAAACATGCACTTGCCTTAAGAAAGAAGTATGCCAGCGGTTGTGTCATGTGTGCCCTACCGCAAAGTTGCGAAAAAATAACTTCGCCATATTTTTTCTGTTCAAGAAGGAAAAAAAAATATATACATATACAAGAAAATATTTCTTTAATTAAGGTATAAAATTTGTTTGTTTTATTCATTTTTGTTATTGCTTTTTTTTTTCCTTTTTTGCGCAAAAAATGGACAGACGGGGAATTGAACCCCGGACCTCTTGAATGCAAATCAAGCGTGATACCACTACACCACCTGCCCGTATAATTAATTATGCTACCATCTTAATATGCTTGTGATTATTTGTACCTTTCTCTCTGCAACGTATTCCTCCCTCTGACGTTGCCAATTGGAGAAAAATTAACAACACGTTTTAGCATTTGCATCTCGCCAAGTGTTTAAAACAAAAAAAAAGGTCACAAAAATGACGCAAAAATGTTGAAGTTAATTTTTGGAAAAATGTAAAAGTTTGCTAATGAGAAAACGCATGCTGGACTGAAAATAGTTTTTTTTTTTTTCTCTGTGAAAAATGAGGAAGGTAAATTCTCCGTGCTTCTCACGTCGCACTTTTTTTCGCACATTTTTTTGTTCATGCCAATTTTGACGAGGCAAGGAAAGGAGGCCACAGGGCGAAACCAATTTAGTGTGCAACTATGTAGCCCAACGGTTAAATCCACATGTAGAGATGTGACCCTGATGTGGGGACCCATTTTGTCAGCTAACCGCGTCGCTGCGCACCCATTCCGTTGGAAGAGAGACGTCTTGATGGGGGATAAAGGGGGGGGAGGATCTACCGTTCCATCCGTTCCACGTTATCGGTTCACCCGGTTGCCGCTTCGCCAACTCCCCCAAAAGTGACAACTCTGAAGGGTATGTATACACACAATTAGGCTGGTTGAAACGCTCCTTCCGTTTACTGCCCTAAATGGTGCTTCTGAAACATGCGTCCAAGGGGCGAGCCATTGTTAGGAGGGTGACTGGCGGTGCTAGGCTAGTATGCAGTGGGGGCCACGACCATGCGCCGGTTGCACGCGGAGCGGTTGCTCCATCGGCGGACGCCCCGCCCTGCGGTGAATCCCACCTACGCGAGTTCACCAATGGAGACAAAATCGTGTACGACAATGCAGAAGACCTGCGCAAGTTCTGCGACAGAAAATTTAAGAAGTTTCGATCCGAGCTAAACATATTGACATCGTCCAACAGGGAATATGTGCCGTACCACTTGTTTGACTTCTTCCTCCCTCACGGGTCATTCGAGGAGGGGGTGCACGAAAAATTGGCCCTCAAGGTGGAACAGTTAAAAGGGGCACAAGCGAATTTGCTGCAAAACGGGGAAACATGCCTCCCCAGAGATGACAGACTTTACAGTGACAAGGGTGACGATTGTTCCCCCTATGTTTTGCCACACTTGTCCGACTCTATTGTGGGGTACGTGGATCAGAATGCAGACCACGCAGCATGTGTGCAAAAAAAAAATATATTTTTTGGGGAGGGAAACAACAATGTGGAGAAGAAGAATAACATATTGTCCTTATTGCAAATGAAACAAATTAACCATCTAGACATGGACTCGTATATAAAATTAAGTTTACAGAGGAACTTCCACATGAAATATTTGACAACAGTTCAGTACTGTTTATTTCCATTGTTTGTAAAAAATTACGACATTTTAATTCACTCCGTTAAAGGCACAGGGAAGACGCTCTCTTACTGTCTCCCACTGGCACACAAAATAATTGCACAGTTAGGTAAACTTAAAAGAGACTTTCCTCATTTGAAGGACAACTACGTCCTTGCGCTGATTATCTGTCCGAACAGAATTCTCGTCGAACAAACATATGCAATTGTAAAAAAATTACTCATGTACCATCCGTATGGCATAATATGCCACTACATGCATGGAAAAAAAAATATGAACATGCAAGGTGAAATTGAAGAACTAAAAAAAAAAAAACCACACATTATTGTGACCACTCCAGCTACTTTCATTAATCATATGAAATTCACCTCTTCCTTCAAAGACATGCTTTTTTTATGTGATACCATCGTCGTGGATGAAGCGTACTTTCTATTAAATTCAAATTATTTACACAACGTTTTAACCATTAAAGATGTGCTGCCCAAGGGACACCAAACCGTTTTATTAACCTGTCATGTTAATAATTTTTTAAAACACTTGGCCTTCAGATTTTTGCGCCTCAATTATGTCTACCTAAATTTAGTGCACAACTGTGTGTATGATGATGACACTTTTGAGGCTGCCGTTCGGGGGGGTAAACACCCCCAGTGTCACTACGCAACAGATGGGAATGAAGAACGGAGCGACCTTTCAAATCTTACCAATCGGGCGAACCCCCCATTTCAACTGTACCACCGATTGAACGCTCAGCTCCTCTCCATCCACAAAAACAACATACTGAATTGCACCCAACTAGAAAAACTTTGGTACTGCAAAGACGCCAAAACGTTTTATGACCACGTTAATGCATTCGATGCGTACCTTGTAGGGGAGCCAGGCCACCCGACACAAGGGGCAAGCGTCAATGAAGAAGGACCAACTCGCAGCGGGATACATACTTCCTGGGAAGGTAAAACTACTACAGATGAGCGGACAAATTCGAGCGGTCCACTGGAACGAGAAAATGAAACACTCCCTCTAGAATATACACATAAAAAGGGTGAAGACAAAAAGAGGGAAGAACCTTTGGAAGAGAAAAAACAAAAGCTTACACTGAACAACAGCGATTACAATAACTACACACAGTTCAGCCGAACACACGCCAATTATGAACAGAACAAAGGGAGAAATATCCCCACGCACATATTCCTAACACAAGAGTACTTAATATACGAGTCGGATAAACTTGCTTTATTAGTTTTCAATATTCTTTGCAGAGAGCTCCTCTCAAGTGAGCATATAAAGATAGTGCTCTTCATGCCCACTGTAAAAATGATCCAATTCTTTTATGTCATTTTCAAGCACTACATTTTTAAGGGCTACCTCTGTTTGCTCTACCTGCGCGGAAAGCAAAGGGCCCACGGGGGGTACATCAATATGAAGGGAAATAACAGCAGCTACTACCACGGGGTGGGTGCCCACTCGGACAGTGTCGCTGCCCCCCCGCAGTACCATCACTACGATAAGGATCACGTAACCTTTTCAGTCTCCTCCACCCCTTTTGTTATGGCCCATCCAGAAGAACTGCACAGCGCAGCAGAAGGGGAGTCCAATGGTGGGAATGGTTCCATCGAGTTAGGGGATAGCACAACGGACAGTTCGCTCAATATGGAGGGCCCACACTTAAACAGCGGCAACGCACACAATGAACAGAGCGTGTGCGACCCTGTTGATGATAAGTACCAACGTGAGTACGAACTGCTAAAGGACGTCATATTCTCCTGTCTGCACTCCAAATTGAGTATAGATAAAAAAATGTACACCCTGAACAGATTTAACAACTCGGAGGGGAAGACCAAACAAGTCTTATTCGCCTCCTCCTTGTTGTGTCAAGGAATTGAATTAGACAAGGTCGACTTGGTAATACAGGTAGGGGTTTGTACAACTGTTGATGAATACGTTATGAGGACGAATCTCGCCACATCGAAAAACACCAAGGGACGGAGCCTGCTCTTGTTAAACGAGTTAGAAGGGCATTATTTGTTCACTCTTTACAAAAACAACATTATGATTAGCAGCATCAGTAAGAGGTACTTGAGGGATATATATAAGGATAACCCTTTGTTGGATGCTTTGTTGAAGTATAAACGCAGGGGGCTCAGTGTGCCAAGTGGGTGTAGTGAGGATGATCAACACTCAACGGGGCAATCCGTTAGCGATATGAGAAAAGACGATGATGTAGGTGACAAACAGGGGGAAAAGCATGCACTTGGGGGGGAAAAATTCGCTCATGAGGAGAGAAAGGATCACTATGCTTATAACCCCCCACTGAGACATATCGAATGGCACAAGCACGAGCACCTGCTCTGTTCGTGCGAGTTGATGTACAGATCGCTTCTCGGGTTTTATTGTCAGCAAGACAAATTTCTCAAGTATGAAAAATGGCAAGTACCAAGTTTAATTAAAAGTATGATTTACTCCTTTGGCTATTTTGATAATTTTTATGTAACGAAATCGATGGCTGCGAGACTTCAAATTTTAAATGCACCTGACCTGTTCGTAAAGTTTAATGCCACTCCTCGGAGTGTGCTCATGTCTGCTCTGCCATCTTACAAGGGGTACAAGTCCCAGATGAATGAACTTTTGCGGAAAGGCCGCGTAGGTGGTCGGTCAGGTGGAGTGTCATCGTCTGGGGAAGACCCCCCTTTTGACACAAAACAGGGGGAAGTCAACTTGGAAGAAAAGGCGAAAAGACGCGAAAGTGGGGATTACGAAAGGCATCCCCTGTATTTCCCCATTCGCACGTATTTCTCCTAATCCGCGCGAGGGGGGGGGGGGGGGGGTTATCTCCTTTGTGAGTTGCTTGCGGTACGTTACTCCGTGTACGACGATGCGGTGGTATATATTTTGGCTATTTTTTTTGTAACTCCCCCTTTTAGCTATTTTTTTTTTTTTTTTTTTTTTCTTGTTCAGGTAAAATTTTTAGCTAGCTGATGCTTCACAATGCTATGTTGTTGTTGCGGCGCAGTGTGTTCACGATAAACCTGGACACGCAGCGCACCTCGAGGCGACTCCTGCAGGCGTAAAGGACAACGTTGCCCGAGCTGAACAGGAGGACCGTCCTGACACAGGGATGAATATTCGGCTGATACCCTTTTGTGAAATTATTTTGCACAACATGATCCAAACTGTCTTGTTGAATTAGCTTAGACAAAAGAGAATGGTCAATTCGAATATATATAATGTTGTTAATGTCTGTAAGGATATTCTTAAATTCTTTATATTTGTAAATTTTTGAAATATCAAAATGTCTCAACTTAACATTAAAAACGGAGACGAGCTGTTTGATGTAAAAATGGTCCATATCGAATGTGATATCATTTCGCGTGATGTACTTCCATCGCCGGTACGTGTCAAACTGGTATATGCACTTTTTGCTCTGCAAGGCTGATTGGTCAAATTGGTTTGAAAAGGGACCCATCTCTCCGGGGTGCTGCCTTTCGATATAACGATCATTTTTTTTTATGCCCGAAAATTCCTTTTCGCCATCCGCTTGAGTATTACTCGGTTTGAAATGCGTTGTGGAATGATTGGGGTGAGTCAATTCAGAGGAGTCCCTCGCATGGTCACATAAATGGGGAGGAGGCGACTCGGATACATTCGCAATTTGGTCATGTTCTTCGCTTTTGTACTCCTCTGAGGAGGATCCTTTAGGAGAATCCACTTTTAACCCGCCCGTCTTTTCCTCCATCTGAATGGCAAGTTTGCCCTCATTCAAATGCACATCCATTTGTTCGCGCCCCAATTGGGAAGGAACTTCTCCGTGGGGCTTTTCGGAAGTCCACCCTTTGCACCCCCCCGATTGGTAATATTCACTACTTTCGGATGGGACTTGGTTTTTTTCGCCCCCCTGACAAAGTCCCTCTTCTGGGAGTGCCTTGACCTGCTCCCAATCGCCCTGCCTATACTTTTTAATTTTTCCTCTTAGTTCTTCAATGACCGTTTCGCAGAAGCGAATCGTTTGGGAAACCTTTGCCTTGTCGTTTTTTGTGGGGTCCCCATCATCCGGGGAAACATCCCCCCCGGTAATGCTGTCCTCAGGAGTGGATTCCTCGACAATGCTCTGTTGAGGAGTAGACTCTCCCGAAATTGATCCACCCCCATTCTGCTGACACGTTAGAAAATTGCTTCCCCCCTTTTCCGTGTGGACAATCTGGTTATTACAAGGTGCCACGCCCCCTGCAACGGTTGCTCCTTCCTGTTGAAGCTCCACCCCCTGGTGAGGTACACCCATATCGCACCCACTTAGGTACGTCCAAAAGGTTTTATATTTCAATCTCTTAATGACCTTAATCAAAATGAGCAAGCCTTTCCTCAAGGTCAATGCCCCGTGGACATGCACGGATCCGTTTTTGTGTATGAAGCAAACAGCATAGGGTTTCTGCAAAAATATTTTCACGACGTTCTTCCTGATTTTATAATTCTGAAAATAAATAAATAAACTGTTCTTCCGTTTACTTTGTCCATCCTTAAAGAGAGACCCGTCTTCCTTTCCACTGAACACAACATCGTCGTAAATAATTTCTGTGTTTTTGAAGGACCTTGAGATGAGAATTAAATCGTGGATGGTGAAGGTACACATGAGGTTGATGTAGATCCAAATGTTTTTTATATATATGTTTAGTCCTAACTTTTCATCGTACATTCGGTTGTCGTCGTCTTGGAACATCTTCCTGAACTTTCTTTTCGCTTCCTCGTGCATAGACGATAGCATGTCGCACTTGACGATGTTATTTCCGGCGTTCACATCGAGGAGGAAGCCACTTCCCTCTGCTTCATACCCTTGGTGGGCAGTTCTCCCCCGTTCTTCTTCACCATGTTGTTTTTCCCCTTTCACCTCCCCCCTGTTCGACAATTGGCTCATTTCGGCTCTCCTTCGTCCCGTGAGCGAAGTTGTGTGCACCTTTTTGTGAAAGTGGCCCTGGATGCTTCCGCCATGCTAATGCCGAGGAAAGTCCCCACCCTCCTCCTTCGGGCCACACAACACAAGCTGTCCACAGGGAGGTGTAACGAAAAAAAAAAAATTATCTTCTCTGAATGAGGACAATTTCACATGGCGCATAAGAAGGTGGTCATGGGTCTGTCCCTTGTCCGGTGTATGCTCACCCAGTGTGTTGAGGCCTATGTCATAGGTCAGCAAAGCCCCTTGCGCATGTGCCCCACAGTGGATCTAAAAATGAGCCTTTCAAAAAAGGGGGGAAAAAAAAAACAGTAAAGGATTCCCTTTTGAATCCCTTCCCTGAGATTCTCCATAAGATGAGCATCCCCGTTCAGATACACATATATATATATATTTTTTTTTTCTGCATGATTGGCCGTTTTTTGCACGCTATTACTCAAACACCTATTATAACAGCTCTCCGTGGACTTGCCCCTCCCCCCGGTGTGCAACAAAATGGGTGAACAAATTGGAGGAATTTGCACCAGGGGAATTTCCTTGGCATTGGCTTAATTGTGGGTGTGGGAACACGCCCCTAGGAGAAGCTCCCAAGTAGGGGTTACCACAAAAGGAGAGCACACATTATGCGAACAAACAACGCTGATCGAACAGGAAGTCGAAAGCAACGAGGCAGCGTTACCCAGGCAGAAAGAGTCGGAGCAAAACAAATCGATTTTGCGAACGGGTTAGGTAGGTGTGATGTTTTTTTTTTTTTTTTTTTCCCTGCAGGGAGTTTAGCGTGGCGAGAAAGGGGCAAAAATGCAGGTGATAAATCCACAGAGGTGAGAAAAAAAAAAAAAAAAAAAAAAAAAAA